AGTTTCTTTTTTACTCTAAACTCTGATTGTAATCTCCCTCACTTTCTGATCAAATGACTGACACATATTAATACGTTTCTTTCAAAAAAAAAAAAAAATAATAATAATAAATAACAATAACTCCAAAAGTATCATAATAACAAAACTCACCACTTTCTTTGCAAATGGTTTTTGAAGCATGGAACAGCAAAACAACCAACAAGCTAATGGCAGCGAGAGAGCCTGGTACGAATGAAAACACGTGACGTACGTAGTCTCCACACTCGTCGCAGTTTTCAGCGTTACTGCAAAGAAAAATTAAACTCAGTTTTGCGAAGAGTCAGTTTCTCAAGCATGTTAAATTTTTGCCGTTTTCTTATCCCTGATTTCCTGCGAATAAAATTGTTTGGTTGTAGTGGAGGAAATGCTCTTTTGGTCTTAGCGAGGACTAAAAAAGCGAAGCAGTCTGAAATATTTCAATGTCTGTATATTCATGAAGTTTTCTTATCCGTGGTCAAGAGCCTAATAACATCATAACTGAAAAAAGTGATCAATATAAATCAGCCAAGGATGGTCAATCAGTGTTGCAGCCAAAAAAACCGTGTGGTATTTTTTGACTTAAGGACTCTTTACCGAGACGTTTTTACCGACACTGTAAATTAAAAAGATTTACACTGTAAATTAAAAAGATCTGTTTCAGCCCCAAAGTGTCAATTCAGCCCTGCAGGCCAAAGTCTGATTCAGCCCTTCTTGGAGCCATTTGAGCACAATTTAGGCCAAAAAAGCTCTATCAAAAGGCTATTCCAGCCCACGGTAGGGCCCATTTCAGCCCTGGGACCAAATCAGCCCTAGCTAATTGGACTGTATTGGCCCTGATTTAAGGGAGCCAAATTAGACCCAAAAATAGGACTGTATTTTACTCACCGAAACGGCCCGGGCCTCGAACGACTGAACGTCAGACTAAAAATTTGACAAACCGTATCAAGTCCGCTTCAGCATGCGAGTGAAGTCTCCGAGACCCTTCCCCCTTATTCCTCCCCTTTGAGCCTCCCAGGGGGCATTATCACAGGCTAATCTGCATTATGATCCCATCGTGCATTACAGTATACTCTACAACAGATCATTACCCTATTGGTTTGGCATCTTATGGCTTATACTTTTTCGGCCATTGCTTGCTGAAAAGTGGGACATTGCCTTCGAGTTGACCTGACGTTAGGTTTTATTTTCGTTTCGCTTGATTTGTTTTGGAGGGTCTCTATTGTATGGCTGAGTAAAAGGGCGGGGGGGAAAGAAGAAGGAGAAATCGCGTCGGGATTTGCTACCTTCGGCTGGTCGCTACTCTCAGCATGCGGTCGTTTGGCATATCTTCGGAAGTTTACCGAACAGACCTTGTTTGGAAGAAGTTAATAACTCAAGGCCCAAAGGGTGTTTTGAGCATATGATTAACTGGCAATTTTTCTCGCTACGATTCCAAGAACAAGATGCATTTTTCCCCAAAAGTTCATCTCGAGGTCTTCTTGTGCCTTAACATTATGGTCACGTGATATGTGACGAGACCAAAAAAATTAAACATGAGGGAAATTGGCTAATTGGTGGCGAATTTACTTTGTTAGCATAAGTAAATTGGAATCTGATAGGAGGAAAACATATTTTTTTTCTTTCTAAGTTTGGAATGAAGTCTAAAATGAAAGTTTCAAGTAATTCAAGATTAAATTTGGGCTTTTAAAATGATTTTTTTTCCCTCAAAAATTTTTATTAAAGTGCATATGAACAGTCATTCCAAACGTGAAGTGTTAGAAATATTTAATATAAGTGAAGAAAATCAGTGTTATTTCTTGATTTCGCCACCAGTTTCTCAATTATTGAACTGATTTTCAGAAAAATAGTCACGCGTGAAATATCACATGATTTATTAACACACTATTTATACTTTAAAATGTTAAGGACAATGAGTATTTTTTGTGCCGGCGCCAAGTTTTGATTAAACTCCATCTGTGTCGAAGTTCTAGCCATAGTTATGAATTCCCACAGGTAAATCCATTAGATCCTGAGGCCTTTGAGTACCATTGTAGTTATGCTTGCTATGTTTTGATTGACGATTGATGTCATTCTCTGACACATAGATTGAGGAAGCTGAAAATTATTTTTAAACTACAAAGTGCACAATTACCTTCCTTCAGGAAACAAATTCTGTATTGTACTGACCAATATTCCGCCAGTTACGTATGACATCAAACTCATAAAAGCAAATACGACACCAGATGTGCTCTATAAAGCAGAAAGAAAATACCCGATCAGAAGAATTGGTATTCCACAAAAAAGGAGAAAAAATGTAAGTATTTTTGTAATCAAAGGGTTATGGTGTTACATGGCAATTCTTTGTAGTTATTGTAAAAAATCAATCTTAATCGTCGTCCTTTTCTTCGGCAGCATTTAAATGAGTGAACTCACTTTGTTGTCTCCAATGAGTTCCGCAGCAAAGCTTAGTGCATTCACGAGCATGGCGGAAAAGCCAAACCCCAGTAACACAGTGGCTGGGTAGGTCATTACTCTGTTGGACTTGGTGATGAAATAAAACCATACACCAGCTGTAATCACGAACAGGGCACCAAGGACAAAACACCACTGGAAAAAAAAACAACAAAAACAAAGCACGCAGTGTTAAAATTAACGTAATTAAAGTTAACTTACTAAAAAATGTTGGCGTTTTTTTCAAAGGCCAAGAAACTAATTGTGCTAGATTCATAGCGTAAATAAAGACCCGTAACTAATAAAGCTACTTATCTACATATGAGAGGTGCAAAAGATACAAAGAAAGAAACAAACATATGTTTTTTTAGTCTGCAAAGAGTCTCTTATTTTCTTCAACTGAGTTACGGCGTTAGCATAAAGCTCGAGTGGTGAGATTGCGAAGCTGCGAGGGGCGAGAAACGAAGGCGTTTTAGCTGTGACTAACGGATCTAAGAGAAAAGTTGGACTGTGAGTAGTCTTTTACATTACGTTTTCAATTTCAATTTCAAACAAGGTATTTACGGTTTTGAAAAAATTTAGAAATGCAGCGGGCTTTGGTGTAGTTAAAAGGACGCCTGGGACCCGGCCTTGCATGCAGTTACACTGCACCCATACGCCCCATAATGCAAACCGACACGGAACCCTCGGAGGTCGCCTCCAATGAAACCGCAATTTTCGAACAAGCATTTCTGAAGCACAACTGGACCACTTCAGTTTGAAATGTACGTAAACCCAAGACAGAACAAGATAGAGAGATGTATTTCTTTATTGCTTAAAGTGCTTTTCGCTTTTTCGTTTATAGGACAATAATTTCCAAAAAATCTAGAAAATGATTCTTACCTTGCTTCCAATTATGGCTACAAGTTTCTTGGACAGTGCCGAAGACAATGCTGCACTTATCAACATTATAAGTGGCAAATACGCTATGGCCTCCTGTTCAAAGCGTAGAGCAAAAATTATTAAAAACCTAGCACCAACTTACTGACGACGTCTTAGTGGAACACAAGACGGTGAATATCTTTTCAAAGCAACCTATCTCTAATGCATGTAGGTATTACCAAAAGCAGATTAAACTAATAGAATTAAAGTAAAATTCAAAGTGCCACTATCTGAGTATATCTGGCCAGTTATTTGAATTAAGGTATATGGTCTATAGTGTCCAATACGGGTGCGGTATATAAAAACCGCACTTGTACTAGACGCTTCATGCTCCTGAAAATGAGTTTGCGCAGGTGGCACTGGCTATGTGTCTAATTTTTGTATTAAGGTATCATCCATATATGGTCTATAGTGTCCAATACGGGTGCGGTATATCAATACAGAACTTGTACTAGATGCATGCTCCTGAAAATGACTTAGCGAAGGTGGCACTAGCTATGTGTCTACTTTTTGTGAGTATATATATACCTTATCCCCGGCCCTTACCTTTCCAAACTGTACTCTGTAGATAAGAAACAATGGAAGATAGGCATACGACAGGCCTATGACAGACATTGTGCACGTGAAGATGATAGCCACCTACGTGAAAAAACCACAAACAGACAAAATTTTCGATCAGAACTGGACGGGTAACTAATTCCATGCAGAAAAACTTACAAATCTCAATATATAAAAGCAAAACCAGAAAAAAACCAAGAACCTAAATCACCTTATATATATGTGGATCCTTGAGCCAGGCTCGTACTGTCTTAGGTGTGGGCGAAGCTGGACGTGCAGATTCGAGGTCACCAGATGTAACTCGGGGAACTGTTTTGGTCGTGTTGGTTTGTAACGCAGGAACACCCAATTCTGTTTCACACTTATATCCTTTATTGTCAACACCAAGGTGCTCGATAGAAACTGAAGAGTTAGCTTTGAAATCTGTTGCTCCTTTTCCGATGTTGGTTCCTTGAATGCCGTTTACTTTATCAACAATGTTCCCCGGTGACGCAGAGTTTGTATCCATCTTTGACTCTTCGTTCATCTGTTCATCAGTAGCGGGGTCAACTCCTATCAATCCATAAACTATACTCACAAGAACACTTATTTTTCGTTCATTAGGCAAACTTTTGACGCCTTTTAACATTTCATCCTCGCCCTGATCTTTTGGTTTAAAAGAAGAACACCCGTCTATCTCGCCTGAGCGTTTGGAGGCTGATTCATTCAAGCTCTTGTTGTCTGCCGGTGATTGTTCGCTAGCTATATTTTCGTCATTTTCTTCATTAGAAAATAGGGCTTGGATAAAGCGCCTCGGAAAACTCTGCTTTCTCGAAGGTTGTTTCTCAGTGTCGCCTGTCTTATTTCCTTCGGCCTTGGTCTTCATGCCATCGAAGAAAGCGTCACGCATTGTTTGTTTTTGAAGATTCACATCTTAGCAGAAGAAAAATGAAATAGTTAAAAACTTAATTCACTTGTAACTTAAAGCTGTTGCAGTTACAATTACTGCAATATACAGCTATTTCGAGAAAGGATGTCGAAAAAAGTGCAGGTCACAGTCCCGAAAGGCATTGTGGGTGGGATTGCGTTCACTCAAGTTCCTCCAGGAAATTTGAGAGAATGGCACGAGAGGCCATGGACGTATGTTTGCGAGTGATTGTGGAAAGCAAAAAAAAAAAAAAAAAAGTTCGACAGCTACTGTATAGGAACTACAGTGTATTGATCATATCCCATATTATCTTCCGGGATTGTCGCGAGCACAATTTTTTGGACGGCCTTTCTCGAAATAGCTGTATAAAGCGTTTCCACTCACATGACCTGTTACTATGCAAATTTATTGCAACAAAAGAAAGTTTTTACGCAAGAAAAAGGTTCAACTGTCAAAGGACTGGTTTGATACACTAACATGGCTCACATTTTATAGTTTTGTAACTATAAATATGGCGACGTGACGTCGTGTGAAAACGCTGTTTTTGTTGAACGTATAAATTATTGATGGCAACCGACAACAGGCAACAAACAGCCGCGTAACCTGGAAATTTATTCCAAGAAAAAAAAACTGGGCTGTGCCATATCAATAGGCATTTGCAAGAAAAATTTCCTTACTGAACCGCTTGTGAGTATCCTTCTTTCGAATCGGTACGTCTGGCCGTGTTTGGAGATACGACTCCCTACATCATGCCAAACGTGATTGGAGTGTCCAAACCAAATTGGTGAAGCTACACTTGATAAATTTCGGTTGAATTAATTAATCATACCTTTTCCTTGAAACGTCATCGCGCTAACCAGGATGTGTGATGGAATAAAAGATATCTTTCTCTAAAAGGAGAAAAGGAGAAAACAGCTTTAGATTAAAAATAATCGCACTAAAGGCAAGTTTAGATTTAACCCTCCTAGCTTAGTTTCATATTCTTATTAAACAATTATAACGTCATTTATTCAATTCATAGTTTGTCTTCTCCGTATGGTCTAAAGCGAGCTTGGTCCTAGTGCCATAGACAGTTTGGAACTCTCTGCGTTCTCTATAATGCACCTTCCGAACCGTACCGATTTAAGTTGTTACTGAGTTACAATTAATATTTAATATTTACTGGTTCCGGATATTTATATTAAGGGTGGGTTATTAGGTAAACATTTACCAAATCTTACCGGTTCGTTTTTGGATATTTCTCCAACACTTTCTTCAGAAGGTTCTTTTGTTCCAACGTGAAAGATTACAGCAAATAGTAGACTTATTCCAACCAGAATTAAAGTCAAAACCTGAAATGTTAAGGAGAAAAGAAGCTAAAAGAACGTGCTTTCGTGCGTGCAATATATATTTATATTGTTTAAGTAATATTCCAAGTATTTATACCGTAAAATCCATCGAGTTCTCTGCCGATATATGGTCGCTGCTATCTTGTCCTATTATCAACCATGCAACGATGAAGGTCACAATGCCACTCAAGAAGGAAAAAGCAGTCCTTTAAGAAAACGAATAAAATGTGATAAGAAAATTTCAGACTTACATGTTTATTCATTTTATTTTATTACCTTCGCCTGCTACTGAACAATGAGTAATAATCAAATGCTTAATAGGCAGGGGTGCCACAACAACGGTGAGCCAATTACATTGGTCGCAGTCCCGGTGTCTCCTCCGTTCACCTGAAACATCGACGAACAACTTAAGGTGATTCCCTGGTTTTGCACTGCGCATCTCTTACTGCGCATAACAAGATGGCCTCCGTAAAAAAGAGCATGTGAAGTAACATCATTAAAATAAAGTTGACCGAAGAGAAACGCTATTGCAATGTTTGCTGGCGGTTGTTTCTTGCCGAGGTGAGACTCAATGTGGTGAGAATGTGCATAACGTAAGCAGTAAGCGTGTTGCTGAGTTCGACTTCCTCACAGAGAACCTCGATAGTGGATGTTTAATTTGTGCTTATTCACTTTGATTTTCATTTAAACGCTTTCTTTATCACATTGTGTCCTAAATGTGATATCTCGATGTAAATTCTGTAAAAACGGATTTTTTAATACTTTCTCCCCCCTTTCGCATACATTCTATTTGAAACTCGCCCCAGTCCTCTTTCAAAAATCAAGGAAAACGCATTGGCGCGCACTTTCTGCAGCTCTACCGCAAAAACGAGTACGGTGACCCCCATTTTTTATTTCATTATTTTAATAAGGACAGTGCTTCCTTTAGGTGAGAAAAAAATTGGCACAAATCTATGTTCAGTTTTTTGGCAATTTTACTAAATTGTACGGATTGAGCTATCACGTGTCGAATAGCGCGTGTCCAATTTAATTCTACTTTGGAGCGTAAAGTAAAAACAAGGGCATTAAAAGGCATTTTTCTGGTACGTAAGTGGATAAACAATACATTTAAGTCAAATTCTGTGCAATACCACATGCATAATTGAAAAAATCTTTCCTTTTTGTCTAGTTTTGGGCTGCGCGCGGTTTTTGTTAAAGGGTCCAAAATAGCCGTATTTGTCAGCATTGTGACGTCAAAACGAGCACGGTGACCCCCACTTTTTATTACCTTTTTATCATCTTCTTGACTGGTTACATCAGTGTACCAAGTTTCATCTACAATCTATGTTAGGTTCTTTTACTAGGGAATCACCTTAACTTAAAACCACCTTAATAAAAAAGAAATTTTAATTTAATGTTACTGAGAGGATAAATGAAAAAAAATATGCCATACCTCCATGCGTTTAATTCAACAGCTTCGCTTTGATCTTTAGCAATGGCAGGGATAATCGAAAGATGGCTAATCTCAATCAAGCCGAATGAAAATGACAAGATTGTATTAAGAACTGCGATATATATCATCAGTTGCCATTGCCCTTGATCGCTCTGACAAAGGAAACAGGAGCTGAAGTAGAATGGAGTGACAATTGCACCCACCACAATGCCTATCAAATGCCATGCCTTCCTTCTTCCAAGCCTCTTGGACAAATACGGAATTTTGACGTTGTCAATCAGGAACGCGCAGATTGCTGAAGATACCGCAACAATGATAAGTCCGTAAAGCATCAACCAGCCGGCATTGGCAGCAGAGAGACCAAACACTTGCATGAATATAACCAAACGAAATGAAAACAGAAGCTGACGAGTGATGTCATTCATCACGTGACCAACTCCACAGGCAAAGCGTTGGAAGACTGGCGTTCGAGAGTTATGGCAGCAAAGTTTAGATATTCCCATGCTTGTAATTTGCTGACAAAAGATAAACATGCGTTTTTTTTTTAACTTGGGGTTTAGTTTTACAAACAACCCAACTGAACTCCACTGATATTTTTAACGTTTCAAGGTCGACTCGAAGAACGGTCAAATCAAATTAATTCTTATTTATAGGTTGTCAGTCTTTATGCCGGTTATGCATAACCTAAATGGTCGGACCTAGGACCTGACCTTGTGAAATAACTGTACGTTTCTCTCTTATATTTCGTTAATCTTTTTATAGTTATTGTCGGTTAGAATAAAAACGCGAGAGTCGTGTATTAAAGCCTGCGTTTTTATAGAGCCACACCTATTTATTTATAGGACTTGAGTCGTTTACCTAATAGAAATAGTTTCTGAATCAGTCTAATTTCAGGCCATTATCAAGTTCAAATTGAATAAACACAGTCAGCCTGTATAGGTTCAACTTCAACGAGAGATGTTCTGGAAGCTACTTTTTAATTTAGTCTAAGACCCTGTTTACATGGAGTGGGGGACCCTGGTCTGGTGGGGTAGGTTTCTTTTGTTTTGTGTCCCCAAGAGCGTGAAAACAAAAGAAACCAACCCCACTAGACCGGGGTCCCCCACTCCATGTAAACAGAGCCTAACATAATCTTTTGGTCAACTGACTTGAGTCAAACTCCTACATCATTAGGCACTTTATTTTGCTACTAAAATTACTTTACGTTACATTTATTTCCAGAAATTGAGGTAAGAGCATTATTAAAATGAAAGACAAGAATTAAAAGTATCACTGAAGAAGGAGTTTCTTGATGCAGAAAGATATTAAGGACTTTAAGACCCAACGAAGCGGACGACAACGAGACCTTAAAAAAACAACAGGTTTTTTAAGCAAAACAACAACTTTACACGTGCATTACACGCTAACCTTGTTTGTACATTTCTTTGCCCTTTTTTGCATGACTACGACGTGAAAATGCCTGTTTTCGCGTTTTAAGGTGATGTTACACGAGACGACTCGCAACGACGATTTTAGCGCAACACAGCATTGCAACATTTGTTGCCACGTTGTTTCGAATAGCTATCACATTTTTCCAACATTGCAACATTGACTTATGTGTTGTCGCGAAAATCGTCGTTGCGAATCGTCTCGCGTAACACCACCTTTATGGACTACGTAAACAGGCAACGACGAAATTGATTTCTCTTTCTTAACTTGATTATGGTCCCTAGGAATTCAACTCCAGGAGGGTTCGGCTGGATTTGACAAAGTAAGTGGGTAGGAGCAATTGCGATAAAGACTGGAAGAACGCAAATTCACTTTTTAAGCGACGTTCTCGTAGAGGTCGCGTGGTTGGATCTTAATGTCGACGACTTTGATTCCGAATCCCGTATCAAATGTCAGTGATTAACGGACAAACATGCATGTGAATCACATAGCCAATTGGAAACTGCAGTGAAGATCCAGAAAAGCTCGGGAAGACCGTAACAGAACATATGGAGTTGAGATATCAAAACCGAGGCGAAGGCCAAAAATAATTCAAATCACTGCACTTAAAAATTACTCATTTTAGTTATAACAGTTGAAGTGGGTTATTAGGTAATAAAAATAAAAGTTAAAAAATCCACCGTTTAAAATATGGTTACTCACCTTTCAAGAAAACCCAGCAAGGTAAATAAATGAAACTTTTTTTCCGTTTCTGAAAGTTAAACTGATTCACAAAGCTAACCAAGCTATTTGCAAGCGTTACAGGAAATCCAAAATAGTTATATACAATCTTCGTCGGCTAACTAAATTTACGTCATCATTGACAAGCCTAGGACGGGATGTTTTTAAACCCACCTTTTAGAAAAAGATTTACATAAGCTCAAGGTCAGGAGTGAATACTTTTATTCTTATTGATAACGCAAGAAGTCATGGATGAATTGATGCAGTTAGAATGTTAAGGGCATCTGGTTTGTGCAACGTAACGGGTTCTCGGTAAGATGTTCGCTTGAAGAAAATGCAATAAGTGGTGTTTAAAATTATCACTAAAATGTGAAGAGAAACCGGAAGTCATAAGGGCGCTAAGCCCCGGACCACACATCGAAGTAATCAAAGTACATTATCATGAAACGTATGATCGAATAATCATAAATGCTTCAGTACCTTTGACCATAAAGAGGCACTTTGCATTGACGTAATCCTACAGCGTGGTCATCAAGATTCAACTCCATTTGCCTAGTATATCATGTCTTCTGTATCTTATTTGTGATTTTTCTGTCAAATTACATTATTTTCTTTTCAAAGTGGAACGGGAGAATAGTTTAATTCGATCTATGACGAATCCCAAAGCAGATGTTTCCACAAAGGAGGGGCGTTTTTTTTTTCCTCCAGCTTCCTTTGGGCCACAATTTTATCACTTTAGACCATAACTGTCAGGTGTTCGTACCGGCCTCTATAAATAAAGGCGTCACTTCACCTCACATAGGAATGGAGGAAGTGTGATCCCAGTTACTCCCGCTGTATCGATGAACTTCCTGTCTGGTTCTAATACCGTAAAATGGATCAGTCAGCTCAGTCATACTCTAAACACTGCAAAAATTAGGAAGCCTTTCGAAATGCTAAGTTCGTACGTGTCAATTTTTTAATGCACCACATATTATCCATGCAACGAAGTCACGTTTCTGATATCCTCGATTACAGGATATCCGGCTCTTGTATTCTTCAATTTTAAGTCGGTAAATTTCGTATCAATTAATGGCTAAATTTTCACACAGTGTTTTGTTCGGGTGGCTCAGACCTTTCCATTTACAAGCTTGGGCTTGGAGAAATATATAAAACTAGATGCCAGTAAGTTTGCAGGTGATTCCACACAATCCTATATATTCTTCTGTAGAGATTGCTAGCTTAAAAATAAAACCGATATTGTCTAGTAAGTTTATGGTACGGTCTGGTCGTCTGATGTAAGTGGCATACATTTTTGTAACACTGGTGATACAAATTGGTATTAGTCTTTCTAGCCTACAAAATAGGCGTTTTTTTTATCAAAATATTAAATATTCATTTTTAATATTTTAAATTTATGTTAGTTTTTCTGCGCCTTCCCCTGTCGCGCGTGTCTGGCGCTCTGACGCCCGCACGCTCGCCCACGCCATCTCACGCACACCTTGAGATAGCCTGCTCTTGCCTGAAAAAACGCTAAAAAATAGCGCCTGTTATGCTAGCTATATAGTCTTGCCTAAGAGAGGAAATCTAATTTCCATCACTGTTATACAATATCAAGTGAGTTACGGAAGTGTCCAGAAGAAAATACAGTTCATTTTTTATTGCCAGGCAGTACGTACACTTAGAGAAGAATAGCTAAATTGGCAGTAACTATACGACGAGAAATTTGTAACTTCATTAAGTTTTTGTCAATTGTATGTTATTCCAGTGATCGAAGAACTTGAAAACTCTGCCTAACTGGTCATAAATCAGCAAACTTCTATCATTTCAAGGAGAGAGCACCAAAATTTGGAAAATATTTACATTGAGGGAGATGGAAGACTACATTGGTAGTCTTTAGTACAGCCTAAATAAGCTAATAAATATTTCAAGACAAGAAAATTTTAATTACTTCAAGTAAAATAAAGCTTCACGCACAACCGATTCTTTTTTACTTCAGGTTAACCTATACTCTCCCACGCAACATAATTAAGATTGATTGACATGTTTCGCCTTTCTCAAAGCTCAAAAAAACCGCTAGTAACGGCAAGTAAGTTAAGTCGGTTTTAAGGATGGTTTTCAAGTCGCTTGAAACTTTCTTGAATCGTTTCAACTCTCTGACTTTAATGAGATGCAAAGTAAAGTTAATTGAGATATTACTTAAGCCTTCACACACGCATTTTTGGTTAAGGTGATTTCCTGGTTTTGTACTGCGCGTCTCTTACTGCGCATAACAAGATGGCCGCCGTAAAAACGAGCATGTGAAGTAACAGTTGACTGAAAAGAGACGCTATTGGAATTTTTGCTTGCTGTTGTTTCTTGCCGAGGTGAGACTCGATATGTTGGGATTTGCATAACGTAAGCAGTACGCGTGTTGCTGAGTGCGACTTCCTCTCGGAGAACCTCGATAGTGGATATTTAACTTGTGCTTACTCACTTTGATTTTCATTTAAACGCTTTCTTTATCACATTGTGTCCTAAATGTGATATCTCGATGTAAATCCTGTAAAAACGGATCAATACTCTCTTCCCCCTTTCACATACATTCTATTTTTGACACTCGCTCCAGTCCTCTCTCAAAAATCGGAGGAAATGCATTTGGTGCGCACTTTCTGTAGCTCTACCGCAAAAGCGAGTGCCGTAACCCCCATTTTTTATTTCATGATTTTAATAAGGACAGTGCCTCCTTTCGATGAGACAAAACTTGGCACAAATCTACGTTCAGTTTTTTGGCAATTTTACTAAATTGTACGGATTGAGCTATCACGGGTCGAATAGCGCGTGTCCAATTTAATTCTACTTTGGAGCGTAAAGTAAAAACAAAGGCATTAAAAGACATTTTTCTGGTACGTAAGTGGATAAACAATACATTAAAGTCAAATTCTGTGTGATACCACATGCAGCATCGAAAAAAAACTCTCCTTTTTGTCTAGTTTTGGGCTGCCCGCAGTTTTTGTAAAAGGGTCCTAAATATCCGTATTTGTCAGCATTGTGGGCATGACGTCAAAACGAGCCCGGTGACCCCCAATTTTTATTACTTTTTTATCATCTTCTTGACTTGTTACATCAGTGCACCAAGTTTCATCTACAATCTATGTTAGGTTCTTTTACTAAGGAATCACCTTAAGGAAAACTTAGCAGCTCTTAATTCTTACTTAACAGCCTAGTGTAAAGACAACCATTGAGTCTAACTAAAAGTCAGTTGAACACCTGCACTCAGAGAGGCGGCGCAGCGCTGCTTGAGAAATGCTATCTAAACCTTAAAACAAGCGGGAAAATCTCCCCTTAACACGTATTTAAGGCGACACCGGCCTTTCCAAAAGACTGCATGAATACTGAATTGGTGAGACCATTTTTAAAACCTGCCAGGCAAAAAAAGTATTACCCTCTGAATGATCGAGGTTTACAATCGGAATTATCAGATTTCCTTCAGCGATCGCTGAGCTTTCTGTAATTGCCCCAGTCTTGTGGTTTTCTAATTAACATAGCACACTAATTTTCCGGAAGGAAATCCGCATATTAAAGGGTCGGGGATGCTCGTCAGAAATTTTGAATTAAATCCCTGAAGGAGACCGATCTGGGCGTGGCCCAAGCTTTTTTTGACCACTAATAGAGACCATGTTAAAACACATGCAAATGAGAAAACTTGGATTATATGAATGGAATAAATAAACCGAATTAAAAATATACATATCAAATATATTTTCATATTTTTTAGCGTGCACGCCTTAAGTGGGACCAAAATCCGCAAATTAACACCCCTAAGCGAGACGACGAGCATCCCCACCTCTTTCATATGCGGAGTTCCCCCCGTTATCTTTTGCGTAATCAGGACTTATTACTTATTGATCATTAATTATTCACTAAAGTAGCCCAAACGTTGTTCAAGGACCTAAACGTTGCTCCTAATTTCAAAAGTTGCTGAGTACAACCAATGCCTAGGCTAGGGTTAAGGCTTTGGGTCAACTTCGGGGGCTAAGGTTACAGCATGGGTGTAAGTCAGAAACAAGACTACGGTTCGTATATACAGTGGAGCCTCGACATACCGAAGCGCCAAGGGACTGGCAAAATTTGTTCACTATAACGAGGTTTCGTTATATCGAGGTTCTTTTTCACATATTTTATTATAACTGAGGTAAAAAAAAAAATCGTTCGTTATACTGAGGACTTATGTAGAGAGTTAGAGTTATATAGGTTCGTCATATCGACGCTGGTTGAATTGCACGTATTTTGCTACAGATTAAGGCCCCTGCTTTACGGAAAAAAGGTTGTCCCGGGAAGGAGAGCTAGGATACACTACCAGCCAAGCCAACTGAAAGCTGCGCATGCTCTGTTTGTCTCGCCTTCACCTAGTTGACCCGGCTGAGCGAGTCAAAGTGTACACATGAAGAAAATTTAGCCCGGCTAGGAGGATGACCCTTGTATCTAAAAGGATGATCCTGCTAAGCGGGTCACCCTTCTAACGAGCCAATTGTCATGTTTGTTTCTCATGTATTTTGAAAAGGAAATGTATATATAGCTGTCTTGTCCAGGGTGCTCTCGGGCGGGCGAGTGATCCCTCTGCCCGCGACATTACACGTTTCTCCATATAAACGAGGCCTAAAATGTATACGAATTCAGATATATTAGCGTTGGATTAATTGTCCTACAGTTCGATCACGTACCCAATGGAAATCTGTAGACTGAACGAAGCCTTAATATTTCATGGGACCGGAGAAGACGATTTCAAAATAACGACAGAATTCAAATGTGTTGCAATAGTTTCCAGACAAATGATAAGTTAAACATGATGGTTAAATACATTGTAAATCCAACTGCTGTTTAAACACTGAATTTTAGGCCTTGCCGTTGAGAAAAATAAGTAACTTGCTCTAGTTTGGAACCTTAATTAGGGTCTTAAGTGTATATTTTCTAATTTTATGGGCTTATTTGTACCCAGAACTCCAAATGAGTTCCACACTAAACTTGAATTGATTTTTTAAAAGGGCTCTGCAGAAGGTCTATCAGAACGCAGGACTTTAACAATGTTAATTTACTCTTATTCTATACTAAAGGCGTCATTGTCTTTGCTGCAATTCATTCTAGCATCCGTTTGGGAATCTGGAAAAATAAAGACAATGATCACAATATAAGCTCATTATCTAGAAGACTGAGAACAGTGTCCTTGTTTTCAGTAAAATTTCTGAACTCTTTTTGTTGTCTTTTTTTTCTTATTGGAGCCTACACAACTAGCAGCTTTACAGGTCACCCTCATATCGACTTCACTGTTTTTCATGTTTTTTTTTTTCAAGGATTTTAAAGCAAAAGTGAAACTCTTTGCTGTCTAATTGTTGATTCATTTCAATTTTTTTAAAGGCTGCCAAGGGTATAATATAAAGATACTGTAGCTTGTACTGTAACTTTACATCGAAAAAGTACCAATCCAAACTAGAACTCGGAGGGTCCTGATCATGAGTTCGATTCTTACCAGGAGCTTTCTGGTGTAAGAATTCTCCCTCTTCCAAATGTAATTGAGTTGAATTTAGTAACATGTGCTGACTCTCTCCCACTGATTGCAGCCATGTAAATAAGAACTCAGGATAAACACTCTTCTACAGCGACAAATAATAAAATCTATACAAGCGAACGGGCAAAATAGGACAATTCCGAGTTCCAAAAACTCTCACTTTTCAAAACGAGGCTAAGTGTAAAACCTTTGTTGTGAAAATGAGTTTTATTTGCATGAGAATATATTATCATTTTCATATCAATGGCTTCGCACCTGGTTTCGCTTTGAAACAAAGGCTTGAGGCAACTCAAAAATAGCCTGTTAAATAAAATGAACCTCTGTCACCTTTTGTCTTGAAAATCTTTTTTGAAGCAGGAAACAGCAGAACAATCAGCAAGCTGAGAGCAGCGAGAGAGCCTGGCACGAATGAAAACACGCGACGAACGTAATCTCCACACTCTTCACAGTCCTCATTGTTACTGCAAAGGGAATGAAAATTACTACGTCTCAATCCTGGAAATCAAACCAATTCTTTTGGCAAAATACATTTATAGAATATATTTTCCAAAACCAAGACCTTGGCACAATTCACATTTGCTGTTTTGAGAAATCATAGCTTAAGCAGAGCACCCGTATACCAACCCCACTGCTTTACCAGTTCCTTAAGGCTGGTTTTCGCCAGCGACGGAGTCGTAAACAGAAGCGTGAGGAACTATGCGACTTAGTGAAACAGCGTTGTTATTAAGCTTACCACTCCGTCGTTTACGATCAAGTGAAAACTGGGTCGTCGGAGTCGCAAGCAGAAGCGGAAGAACTAAACCGATCACAAAGCGTTTTAACGAGCATTGTGATTGGCTTATCCTTCCGCTTCTGCTTCCGACTCCGACAATTTGGTTTTCACTAGATCATAAGCGGAACGAAGCAACGGGGTAATAAGCAGAGTAGCAAGAAAATGGAAACGTTCTGATTTTTCCGACTCCGATTCCGTCGAGCTTATGACTCCGCTTACGACTACGATTTTTGAGTTTCACAAGGTCATAAGCGCTCTTACGATTCCGATTCCGACTCTGTCGCAAGTGAAAGCCAGCCTTTACGCGTGAAAACAGCCATATCACTCACGAAGTGACATCCATGGAGATCTGTCTCTTCCTCAATTTTTTTTTTTTTACCAGCAGCTGCTTATGGTCTGTTCGACCTCAAAAGGTCGTGATTAGGTGCCCTGTACTTTACGCGAAGGCACTTATTTCAGCACCAGCTCCACTCAACACATTTGGGAGCTGATTACAATTAAAATTTGTCTTTGTGTTCACACATTTGGGAGCTGTTGTGCTGGGAACCTCACGACGGAGCGCTGGAAAGCAAATGACACATTCGGATACCAACATCGGGACGGCCTGTGCTGGTCAGGTGGTGGTGGACTAATGTCCGAGTGTCGGACTTGCTGTGTATCTCTCATATGATTTCCAACCTCCGGGACTAAAACTACACGTAAAGAGCTAGCTGATTTCTTGAAACCACTGTTGTTTAAGCTAAACAAACAATTACCTTCCTTCAGGAAACAAATTCTGTATCGTAGTCATCAATGTGCCGTTCGTTAGATATGACATCAAACTCATACAAGCATATACAACGCCACAAGTGCTCTAAAATGAAAGAAATTTAGCTCTGCATCAGCAAAAAAATCTTAGTAAGACATTATGCCTTTTTAGTAACAGAATGGCGCTCATCTTTACCAATGCTTTATTGTTTGCTTTCATTTCATTACAATTTTAGTCTCGTGACGATCTCACACATCGGGTTAAGGCCCGAACAAAACTAAATCAGGGTAATTCTGTACGAAAGTATCCATTCCACAGTATCTAATGGTTTCGCACTGCCTAAGAAAACTGCTGAAGCTTTCTATTGTTTTCCAGCTCCTCCCTGAGTCCTTCTTATCCTCTTGATCTCCTCCCACATCTTTTTCTTATGTAAACAAAGTTAGGTGTTAGACGAAATGAATTGGAACGGTTCGCGGCCCGCATGACGTTTTCAATTTTTGACCTGCTTTTGGCTTTTTTCCCCCCTGATTTGGGCCTTGTAGCCTGGGGCTTTCACTTGTCTCGATCTTCTGTATAATCTTACTATTTGTGTAGCAGGTAATAGGGAAAACCGAAAGGAAATGAAGAGGGGGAGGAGGAGGGAGGAAAAAGAACAACTAATAAATAATCATGATTAATGCCGTAAAAAGAATCAGAGAAGTGGAACAGAAAAAAAAAATGGTCGTTGAAATGGACAATGTAAGCGGCAAGAAATACAACTTGCATAATTAAGTTAGGGCTCAGTGATTCTACGTCACAAACGAGTTAGCGCTTCCTTCTACGACAACATGAATCAACCTAGTATGAATAGTTTTTTTTTTGTTTTTATAGGCCCATCCTCTTTTTTATCTCCTTTTACCGTCGTCAGACCCACTCAAATTTTTTAAAAAGAAAAAAAAAAGTAACGACGTTGTTAAACCATTTTTCGCTTGAAATAATTATTTTAATCTGTAAAATGAGCATAGTAAGAACATATAGAAAAACAGGAACAAAAAAGGAACATTTTTTTACAGTATATGGTGCATTTTGTTAATCGAAATATGTAAATGTTAAATTTTAACGTCATCCTGGGGTACCAGGGCCACCTATTCCGAGTCTTCTTGTGATTTTTTTTTAGGTATTTTTTTTTTTCAATCCGACCGACCCAATATCAGGAAACGCATTCGACGCTGAATGAAAAAAAAAAAGAGATATGGCCTAATCAACCATTCAAAAACCAAAATATTCATCGCCGTTGATGAGATTCCACCACAAAATGATTAACTTCACCCTTACTATACTACTAAGAGCACTCTGTATATCAATCATCACATTTTATTGAGCTTACTTTGTTTTCTCCTATTAGCTCTGCTGCGAAGCTAAGCGCATTCACGAGCATGGCGGAGAATCCAAAACCCAGTAACGCAGTGGCCGGATAGGTCATTACTCTGTTGGACTTGGTGATGAAATAAAACCACACGTCCGCCCCCATCACGATAAAGGCAGCCAAGGTGAAGCAACGCTGATTAAGAAAATGTGATTGTCGATTTAAAATAAATCATGCTTATCATCCTGCCATAAAAATGGCAGAAGAAATAAGCCAGGTTAATGAAAAACGTAGGCTGGTAGGGGACTAAAAGAGTTTGTTATCAACGGGAAGTCGTGATGAGAGAGTTGAACTCGACGCTGTTTAGAAACTCCGGATCCCAGCTATGTACACATACTCACGCCTTTCGATTGTGAAGTTTAGAGCTGTACCCCAACTCTCCCACATATCTGAAACTCCATTAATGACCACTAAATGAGGATTAATAGCCCTGTTGCCGTTTAATCAAAATCGAAATCACTATATATTTTTGATTTAAATGCAATGGAGGTTAAAATGGGGGTAAACGAAACCAACCAAAATCGAAATCACTGTATATTTTTGATTTAAATGCAACTGAGGTTATAATGGGGGTAAACGAAACCTGGTTTACCTACGTTACATATTCTTAATGATTAGTACCTTGGATCCTGCTACTCCCTCAAGTTTCTTTGACATTCCCGAGGATACAGCTGCACTTATTAACATTATAAGGGGAAAATAAGCAATGGCTTCCTGTGCAAGGAAAAACAAATTGTTCAATATTGTACAATTATTATTTAAAAATCATTCTCCAATTGAGACTCGTTAGCAAGTAACGAGGCATATAAATAGACCTTGTCACGGTTTTCCACGCCATCTTGACGAGTAGGCAAACGTGAGAAATTACTAACAGTGTTTGTATGAGAATCTAATCTCAGGCCACTTAGGGCATGACTATCTAATTAAATACGCATATTTTGATAAAATGCTATTTAGAACGGTTTGCTTCTATCAATGATCCTGAAAATTGAACTACAAATATAAAATGTAGCTTAATGGCCTTAGCAATATGAGTGCATTTTAGAAGCTCAAGTTTTCGTCACGTGACTGATAATTGAGAATTAACGGTCAAAATATTTACTCTAAAATGGGGAAAGGGTAATGAAAGAGCAACAAGTTCTTTTAGGTACATTTCCGAGGCTATTAAAAAGGTTCTTATAAATTCGCCTTGTATGTGTGTTTATGTTATATAGGAATCGGTAAATAAAGAGAAAAGGGTCACGTGACTTATTAATTAGTTAAATAGCTAACAGGATACCTTTGTGTACCTATGCGTTACCTTTTGAAACTGAACTCTGTAAATGAGATACAGTGGCAGATAGCTATATGAAAGGCTCATTACATTCATTGTGCAGGTGAAGATGATGGCCACCTATGAAAACAGAAAAAGAAAATTAATATTAAGAAAAGAAGTAGTTCACGTCTATAATGAAACAACTGGGGTAAAATCTTTGAGCCCTAAATTACCTTATAAAGATGTGGATCTTTAAGCCAGGCTCGTGTTGTCTCAGGTTTTGGTGTGACCTGTGGAGCAGATCCCAGGTCACATGTGTGGTGCTTAGAGGAAGTTGAACAGATAGTCTGTATTTTTTCTTCTGTTGTTTCTATTTTGCATCGCTCTAGCTGAATGCTGTGTCCTTTATTTGAAACTTCAGCAACACCCAATTTGTTCTCTGATGCTGTGTAGTTGGTTCCTTGAGAGCTGTTAATGTCTTTAGAGATCCTAGACTCTTCATCTTCATTTTCAACAGCTATATCCGCAGGGTCCACTCCTATCACTCCCCACAAAATACTGTTGAGAACACTAATTTTTCGTTCATTGGGCAACGTTCTGACCTCTCTTAACATTTCCTCCTCACCCTTGGACGCTGATTCCTTCGCGCCGATGTTGTCAAAAGTTAGTTCTTTTCCAGCTATGTTGTCATCGTTTCCATTAAAAGAGAACAGGGCTTCCACAAATCGCCTTAGAAACATTTGCTTTCTCGCCTGTCCTATCTCTTCTATCTTTGTTTCTTCCTTGCCCTTCGCATTCAGACTATCCATGAACGCGTCATGCATTCTTTGCTCTTGAGGACACAATTCTAAGGAAATGAAAAGAAAATTAAATAAGGTAACGGTTTAAGGAAGTTAAATTTGGCAGGCACCAAGTTTTCAAAGTAGGCATCGATCGAGTTGTTTATATATTTTTTAAAAAATGCCAACAACATGCAAGTCCTAAATATGTACAAGCCAGACCAGGTCTCTCGACAATGTTCACTCAGCCTATCACATGCAATTTACTGACCCTAAATTAAAGAGTACAGAGGTTACTAAGAAAAGAAGCTTGAGGGGGCCGACCATTTGATTTTTGGATCATAAGGATTATAAGCCTAAATGGTGGGCCCCTAAGATGGCTATGACTTCTACTAAAGTCGAAATATCGTCAGGAGTAATCAGCTCCTAATATCGTACAACACTTTGAAACATCTTGTACTACAAGCTATAATTACCAAACTGGTTTCTGCTATGACATCCTTCCTCGCGCTAGTAGTTTGCTCTTCAGGATTTAAATGCCAGATGGTGTTGAAGTTTAAAAATGATTAACTTGAAGCTTCATTTTATCGATTATAAGGCGTACCTGTTCCTTGAAACGTCATCGCCCTTACAAGAGCATGCGGTGGAATGAAAGATGTCTTGTTCTGTTTTGGAGAGAAAAAAATTCACCAATAAACGTCAAATTAATTTTCTTCCGATGTTTCCCCTCAATGTATTGAGATGCAATTTCAGCTTTCTCTCTCAAGATGAATTGATTTAATGATTTGATGTGACTTAATGTTTTTGCCTTTACAAGATTCTTCCATCAGTCAACTGGCAGGCTAACACAGTTCTATCTGATTAGAGCCACGCCCTCCAGTTTTGTATGGCTTTATATCAGTCAGTAGTATGGTCTCCACATGCACCAAATTGACCGTTCTCCAGTTTAAGACGGAATCCACCAGGAAATTGAGTAACTTTAATTTTCAGCTGAAAAGCAGAATGATTTGTAAAGAATATTGCATTTTTTTTTACATTTTTCAGGGGCTATATATTAGGTAATTAGTTATCTGTAATAACACCAAAGAAAATTTCTTATTGGAGCCCGAGAAAATAAATGTCAAACTTCGCAAAATGACATCTTGCACACGAAATTTCAGAACTTTACATTATTTTCACAATTCTTGTGAAATTTGGCATTTATTTTCTTGGGCTCCCATAAGAAATTTTCTTTGTTGTTATTACACATAACTAATTACATCTATAGCACTTGAAAAATGTGAAAAAAGGATGCGATGATGATGGAATTATTCTGATACAAGGTGTTTGTCCACTGAAAACTAAAATTATTCAATTTCCGGATGGATTCCGTCTTAAGCTCAATAAAGTTACGTTGCAAACCTAATGCACTGGGTGTCCGAGATTCGATAATGCAACTGCACTTTTCTCTAGTCAAAGACGCATTACTGAAATGAAATGATTTTTTCCTAGCTTTTAAAGCTAGCTTACCTGCTTCTTTTTCGAAAAGTGTTCATCACTTTCTTCGAAAGGCTCCTTTGTTGCACCGTGGAATATCACAGCAAACAGCAGGCCTATTCCCGTCAAAATTATAGTCATAACCTGTGGACTAACACAAACGATGTTATTTCGGCCTTACCTGTAACGGCAGTGTTAAATCTCATATCGATATCTTAATACCCGTTCTTAATTACCGTAAAATCCATAGAGCTCTCCGCCGAGAGATGGTCATTGCTGTCTTGTCCAAATATTAGCCAGGCAACAATAAAGGTGATAATGCCGCTCAAGAAGGAAAAAAAAGTCGTTTGAGAGAAAAAAACAGAAACAAAAAACAAAAAACAAAAACAAAAACATGAAATAAAAATTGAATTGAAAATAAATCATTAGTTAAGGATATTTGCGCTACGACGTTCTTTAATTTTGTTACAGCAACCAGATTCTTACAGTTTTTCTTTTTTTTCCTTTCCTTTTCTTACAGTTTTACTCATCGTTGGTTAAAACCAAAGAACATGACACCATAATGCAACATCGTTAATTTTGGTTGGCAAGGCAACCTTGGCGATGCACAGGAAGACCTAGTTTCGCCTGCGGCCCAGGATACTGCAAGTCTGCGCCCTATACATTACGTACAATGAAAATCCACTGCGCGCAATATGTCAGGTACTGTTGTGCATGAGACAAGTGTTGAGATTTAAAATGCTAATATAATAAGCTTCACTTCCCCTGATTTTCGAAACTAAAATTAAAATACCTCCACGCGTTTAATTCCGCCGCTTCACTATGATCTTTGGCGATTGCCGGAATGATCGAAAGATGACCAATTTCAACCAAGCTGAACGAAAATGACAAGAGTGTAGTAAGGGCTGCTAAGTATATCATCATTTGCAATTGTCCACGATCACTTTTGCAAAAGAAACAAGGACTAAAGTACAATGGGACAACCAATGTTGAAATCACAGTACCAATTAAATGCCAAGACTTCCTTCTTCCAAGCTTCGGGGACAAAAATGGAATTTTGACATTGTCAATCAAGAACGCGTTGATTACTGAAGCTGCAGCGACGCAGATAAGATTATACAGCACCAACCAGCCTGCATTAGCCGCAGAAAGGCCAAACACTTGTATAAAGACAACCAAACGAAATGAGATGAGTAACTGACGCACTATGTCATTTATCATGTGACCAACTCCACAAGCAAAACGCTGGAAAGCGCGAGTTCCAGACTGCGAATCTGACTCCAAATATCGACAGCATAGGTTTGACATCCTGATGGTCTTTATTACCTGCCAGATAAACTTAACCTGTTAATGTACGCGGGACTAGTCATTTGACTAATGTGTAAAGATTGCAAATCTTAGTGCGACATTGCAGCTCCCTTAAGACCTTACGGAATTGGTTGGGAAAACAATGAGCAAAAACAATTAGTTAACGGAAACAAGAGATGTGACACAGAGACTCTGACTCAGTGCGAGGTTCTGAAGACATAGTGTGAGGGTACTAAAACTTTGACGCAAAGACATATAAACATAGTAATGGTTGATATGTTTCCTCTGTTAACAGATCGAGATATTATAGGTGGCTTGCTAATTGCTTAATCACGAAGATTCAGAGAAGCTAAAACTACGGACTGTTCGTCTTTGCATTACGTTATATTCGTTCGAATACATATAAGCCATTTGCATGATGGCGTCATTTTACTGTATGACCAGAATCTTTTTCGTTATTCCTTTCATTTTTAAATTCGGTAATTCCCGCGAGGTTTAAACAAAAACGCCCTAATTTGCATAAGAAAACAAAATCCTGAAGGATTTTGGTAACGTAGTGGTAGTAAACTGACGTCATTGTGCAAATGGCCTATTACCCGCTTCTCTCAGCCATGGGCAATTCCCATTGGCTAAATTTTGGTGTAAGCTGTCAATAAGCCGTCAAGTGATGTTTTCAACAAGTCGTTCGCAATGCTCCCAACCATGATCCCTTCCTAAAGCTTTCGCCGTAAATGGCGGTTGATGATCGCCCGAATTTGCTCGCACAAGAATTGAGATTTGTCCTAAAATCGGAGCAGAGGGAGGCTTTGGAGTCGCTTCTTTGGCGAAAGGGTGTTTTTTGTGTCCTACCAACAGGCTTTAGCTTTTTTCAATAGCAATAATTGTTCATTGTCCGTTGGAGTGTTCAGTTTCTCTCTAATTACCAAAGCAGCGCAGCATGATTAAGCAAAATGTATAAACGTTTCGTTGCTAGCTGACTGAGACCTAAAAATAATATCATAACCGCCAGGTATCATTGCATTAATAATTAATGCTCTTCATGTAAACATTTTCAACCCACACGTTAAAATCATTACACGTGAAAAGATCACCGTTGTTAGATAGTACGTGCGTTGTGATTGGTCAAAATCCCACGCATTATTATACCGCTAAACTAGTAGAAAACAGCATCCAGACCACGAGCCATGCACAAAACCGACCACTGAACTGCAAACAACGATTTTGGAAAACTTAAAGCACAGAACAATTTACTTGTCCAGCCCCTCTCTTTTTTAAAAAAAAGCTTTGCCGTTTCCATGAGTTATTCCTGAGTTTCCTTATTCGCTGCTCAGCCACAGGGTACAGATACAGGTTATCAGGTACTAAGCTGGAAAGCAGTTTTTGAAAGACAACAACTGTTGTGTTAATTTCGTCTGGTGTAGAAAACATCGAGATGATCTCAACCATTTACCCACCAGCAACAAAACCGAAGCTCTAGCTGGTACAAAATCAGCCTCTACCAGCAGTTAGCTGGCTCGCATTTGTCAGTGCAAAGTCGCGAGTTATCTAGTGAGTATCGTATTATAAAATATATTCTCCTGATTTAACGTTATGGAAGTAAAATTACACATTTTTCTTTTTACCTTTAGAAACCAATATGCGAATCAGGTCAAGTATAATGCATTGACTGCTCTTGATGTTTTAACGAGCTTGTTGGTGCAGGACTAGTCTAGTATACTCCCCTGTTGACAAGATAATTGGTCCATACTACACGTGAATGCTTGGCGAGCGTCGAGTTGACTAAGACTTGAAAATAATATCATAACCTGCGGGTATCATCGCACTTTTAATAATTAGTGCTCTTCACGTAAACATTTTCAGCCCACACGTGAAAATCATTTCACGTAAAAAAAAAAATCACCGTTGTTAGTACGTGTGTTCTGATTGGTCAAAAACCCATGGATTATTAACCGGTAAACTCGTAAGAAACAGCATCCAGACCACGAACACGTGAAAAGATCACCGTGAAAATATCACCGCTGTTAGTACGTGTGTCAAAAACCCACGGATTATTATACCGCTAAACTCGTAGAAAACAGCATCCAGACCACGGACCATACACAAAACCGACCATTGAGCTGCAAACAACGATTTTGGAAAAAGCTTAAAACACGGAACAATTTACTTGCACTTTGCAACACAGGTTTTTAGATGGTTGGAATTCAGGGTTTTAATGAATCAAAAGACCGCACCCCTTGAGGGACTAAGATTTAACATCTTGAATCAGTTCCAAACTTGATGATTAATTGTAGGCAATTGGAAGCAGAATTAAATGTTTTTCTCGCCTTTAGAGACCAAAGCGCGTAAGAAGTCGAGTCTACTGTGTCGCCTGCACCAGGGCTGAATGCAGCCTGTTTTGATAAGCCCAGGTTTTCCTTTTCACTTGAGCAGTCATGGCTAAAAGTCACGTTTATTTCAAATGTAGTTTAGTTGACGCCATACACGTGGAACGGAACTTGTAACAATGACCCATAAATAACATCGCTATTAAGGGAACATGCTTGATTAAGCAATATGAATAAATAATATCATAACAGCACGGTATCATTGCATTTTTAATAATTAGTGCCTTTCATGTAAACGTTTTTAACCCACGCGTGAAAATCATTACACGTGAAAAGATCACCGTCCGTTGTTAGTACGTGTGTCAAAAACCCACGGATTATTATACCGCTAAACTCGTAGAAAACAGCATCCAGACCACGCGAGACATACATAAAACCGACCATTGAACTGCAAACAACGATTTTAGAAAAGTTTAAAACAGAGAACAATTTACTTGTCCAGTCCCTCTCTTTTTTTAAAAAAAGCTTTGCCGTTTCCATGAGTTATTCCTGAGCCAGCAACAGGGTCAAATTATCAAGTAGAAAGCTGGAGAGCAGTTTTTGAAAGACAACAACTGTGTGAACTTCGTCTGGTGTAGAAAGCTTCGAGAAGAACTCAGACATTTGCAAACCAGCAACAAAAACCGAGGCTCTGGTACCGAGCCCCTACCGGCAGTTAACTGACTCGCATTTGTCAGTGCAAAGTTGCGAATTATCTAGTGAGTATCGTATTATAAAATATATTATCCTAATTTTACGTCGTGGAAGTAAAATTGCATTTTTTTTTTAACCTTTAGAAACCAAGATGCGAATCAGGTTAAGTATACTGCATTGACTGCTCTTGATGGTTTAATGAGCTTGTTGGTGTAGTTGGCTATATAGTCAGTATACTGCCCTGTTGACAAGATAATTGGTCCATACTACACGCGAATGCATGGCGAGCGTTGAGTTAATTACTTTTTCGCTACCTGTGCTCTTTATTTGGTTAACGTCTGACTTATTGTGCCAAGGGTTTACGATTGATAGTCCATGAAATGCAGCATTTCATGATTCCTAACTCTCAGAGTTGAATCATACATGCAGGTATCGCTTAGGGTTGCGCGTAAAATGGAACATGATATGTGATTCCGATACTGGAGAAGCCTACTCTGATAATCGACACTATATAGCTGAATTAGCTAATAAATCATGTATCCGCCAAAATTTACCACTTAATATTGTAAGTCAACCATTCAAATTTTTTGTAGGATCGATTTAATTTACGATTGAATGCGTCTTACTGTCAAGAACACTATTTGTCAATGAATATTTTTAAGAGCCATTGTTCAATAAGCATCATGAATAAAGACTCCTTTACCTTCCGAACTTACTAGCATGTGGGATATAAAAATACTTCATAGTCTCAGGGTTTAATTTATTATTGCTATATTAATAGTTACACTCCATGCATTGACGCAATCAGCTTGATCTCGAACTCTCTACATTACGGAACGACAATTAAGGACAAATATTTACGTCGCCTCCATGGGTTCGACTAAACAAAAGAAACACATTCATTAATCTCTGAATACGTCTACCAGACTTTTCAAGTTTTAATCAACGTTTTTCCTTACCTGCCATTAGGGTGAATTTTACATTTCGAAAGCCTTATGTACTAGTATAGACTGATCAGAAATTTTTCGCAAGACCTAATGTCACTACAATTAAAGTTCTATGACAAGCAGTACTAGCGCTCACCAGGTGCTGAGACGTCACGATTCGTATTTCTGCGGTGCCCGATGGCCTTTCTGACGACGATTCGAATTCACCTTCAACCGATAATTTCCCCTTCCATTTGATTTAACTTACTTTAATGTGTTGAAAACACTTCCAAATAAAATGCTGATCTGAAACAAATAAATCGAGGGGTTTTTATTTTGCTGGCAGCACCGGCACCGTAAGATTACGCCGAAACGCCATGATTATGCTTCTTCTTTTTTTTTTTTTAACCCCCTTGTACAAAGATTTGTTTCATTCGTGTGGCTTAGCCCCCACCGCCCCCCCCCCCCAAAAAAGTTCTGATTTCGATCTTTCCATGCATTTTACAATGTTCGATCCTGACACAGATAACACTAAATTTCTGATTTTCTAATTCGTAGTAAAATCCAAGATGGCGGCCAAAAAGGAGACCATTGCTGGTGACGACACAGGCCTCCAGCAGCGCCTCCACCTAAAATATACCTCATCATCATCATCTTGATGAGAACATCGAAGGCTTTCCACTGAAGGCAAAATCGTTTCGAATGACTGCAACTGATCAAAAACTCTGGGGTGGGGTCTATCAAACTTCCCCCTTGTACCACGGTGGGGGTATGAATTTGCGTGTACGTCCGAGGGTTAAATTAAGGAAGTTCAAGGATCGGTTTCATTATCGGTTTTACTTCTTTTCTAGCTGGCAAGCCGAGGTGTTTTCTGCTGGGGCTCAACCTTCCTATCCGTTAGGCTGGGAGCGAGGAACATAAGTTCTATTCCGTTTACCAGGAAAATTCGCAAACTTAATTTGTTGTTATTATCGTTATCATTATCAGCATTATAATTAGTATATTTCTTCAAAAATCGACATCAAACTTTTGCGTGTGCGGGTTTTGCAAAAACTGTTTTACTCATTTTGGTAGGTCGCGCTTTTTAGAGATGAAGTACAGGGACGGCACAACAGGGTTTTGAAAGTTGAGAGGGGGTGGGGCTACACAATCAGATGACTTTCCAAAAATGAAGGGCAAAATGACGTTAAACGATAAGGAAATTCGAGACCTTAGATTAAAACACTTTAATCAGTGGTCGTTGTACAGGAGGGCACGGTCCAACTTATGGTGCAATGAAACTGAGTTGATGCCCTCGCAGTGCATGTCACAACACGGGGAAGTGATTGATCCCATTGATTTTTTTAAACTAAGATGTGTCTCAGGAAAAAGTTACAGTTTTGCCTCAAAGTCAGTTGTTAACGGCTCCGAGGAGGCACAGAGAGGTTAAATTTAAATTGTTTGCGGCCAGACTCACAGAAACCTCTCCCTCCAGGGCATTGTAATTTCATCATATGTATTGAAAAGTTCATCAATAATTCAGAAAGAAAATACAAAAGAAGTTAATGTTTAATGTGTGTCTTCATATCTGATAAAGACACGGCTAAACTTTACGTCCAATTTTTTAGACCAAAATAACCCCAAATCTAAATGGAAACCTTTTAATACAGAAAGTCTAGAATCTGGGAAATGAAAGAAGATAAATATACAAAAAGCCTTGTCAAGAATCAGATCTATGCAATTGTTCATATGCGAGATATTCGGAAAAACGTTTTAACCAAATTTATAAAGCTTTGTATGGAGACGCCATGTTTGTGTCCCTTTCAGGGGCACAAATATGGCCGCCGGAAACCAACAGAAACAATTGTTTTTGAGTTTTCCTACTTATTCGTGAATTCTTCGCTTGAGGAACTTATAAAGATTAAAGTAATATTCATTCTAAGACAAGGAATGTTTAGATAGCAAAATCTCCAAAAATCCGTAATGTTTTAACCCACATAAGAGCCTTCCCGGCCGCCAGCTAAATGTCGCGTCGCGCAAAAGCCTGGAAATTCAAGCGTCCTGTATCGCAAAACAAAGAACCCTTTTGAACCGAAAATTTTTCTGTATAAAGGTTTTAATCATAAGGTGCTCTAGTATCACATGAAAGTAGAAACTCAGAAGAAGCGATAGTTTCTTAGTTTGAATTTTGGTGACGTCATGTGGAAACCAAGAATCAGGGAGCTTATAAGCAACTACGACGACGACCACAACGACAACTTCAAAAAAAAAAAAACAAAACAATAGATTTAATGATCAAAACAACAGCTGTGCACGTACATCACGCTTTTTAGTACATTTCTTTGACCTCCACTGCACGACTACGACGTGACACACTCCTTGTTTGACGTTTTATGGAGGACGTGGACATACGACGACGAAGTTTCCTTCCTCTTTTTGAACCTGAATAAAATCCTAAAGAATTCAACTCTAGGAAAAGTCGCCTGCATTTGACATACTGAGCGGGTCCAAATAGACGCGGTTAAGGTTGAAATGACGCATTGCCGAATTCCTTTTTTTTACCGACGATTTCACTACCGTCGTCGTCGTCCTTGCCTAAGGTCGCCGCTATTAGCTGCTAAAGTCGGGTATCCCAAGTCCCGTCTAATTTCACGCTGGTGTCTGTTTTAGGAGCTGCAAAAGAATAAATCATATAGGTTAGTGATATTAACCCACAAACCCTTAAACTAGAGCCCGGTTCTTTTAGACCAGATAATATAAGATTATTTAACCCGTGTTACTTAAGAAAAGCTCACTAAATTGTTAAACAAGGCCCATTCGAATCATTTTTTTGTTTGGTTAAATCAGTGCTCATTAAGACTAGCTACCAAAAAATATTTCAGGGATGAAGAAAAAAATGATATATCTACGAATATGGGGTCAAATGAGACCCGGCGTGTTCCTATTTCATATTTATTTCAAACAAAACGCAAATGAAACACATGGAATAATAATAGAAAATGGTTTACACCACCCCAGTATCAGGGCTGGTTACCAAGTGAGCGGCCGCTAAGCTACACCGACTAAGCGCTGGTACTATAAAAGAGCCGGTTCGCTTGAGTGTTGCTATAAAACCTTAGAGATTGTGATGTTTCCCTAGCTTGAAAAAGATAGGGAAACGAAGATTCAGAGTCAGGTTCTGATTCACTATCATTTCCCTCTCGAGAGGCTATCGATATCTGTGATTTTGTAAATAATAGACAAGGATCCAAAAGCAGAAGTTGAAGCATAGGGCATTGTCTTAAAAAAAATTTCCTAGGCACTTGATAAAAATTTCACTGACATTACCCAGATAACTCGAATTTCCCCCTAACTCGAACTGTTTTTCGTTTCCTTTCAGAGTCCGAGTTACCGTGGTTCTACGGTATTTAACTATTTGCAAAACGTTTTCACAACTTAGAAAGAAAAAAAAAACGTTTGGCCGGCGTTCTCAGTGTAGCTGTAAATGGAGCATGCATTAAAAAAGTAAAAAACAAAATGCTCTCCATAATTATTGAAGGAAAGTTGACTCAACTTGTTTTATTCCTTAACTTCATTGCATCAGGAAAAGTTTGTTCGTATTTTATTTTAAAGCAAAGTGCATTCACTCACCATTTCGCTTGCAATTTGTTTGTGGCGCTTGGAACAACACAAGAGCCAACACACCGATAACGGCGAGAGAGCCTGGGACGAACGAAAACAGGTGACGTACATAATTTCCACACTCTTCGCAGTTCGTAGAATTGCTACAAATTAAATGATGAAATAAGTTAAAACAATAATAGTTAATATAAATTATATATAAACGATAATAAAATAAATAAATGTATAAATAAGTAGATGTTAAATAAATAGATGAATAACATTTAGGTACGTACATCAACCGTTCTCTAAGAAAGTTAATGTGCTAGAGCCTGCTAGCCTCAAGGAGATAGTGTTGAATAACCGGGTGAGTCGAGCGAAATGATTTAACTTTCATTTTGTTTAAACCCACTGGCATAAAAAGTCTCCGAGTTCGTCATCCAGATTTACTGTATCAGTTAAAACTACGAGGGCCATATTGACAAAAGATTCGAGGAAATGTAAACGTATTTCAATGACGGTATAATTTGAATTAATGCTGAGAAAGCCGAAATGCAGAACGTTTTTGTGCATGTGTTGGAGGTTCACACGAAACAGCTGGAGAGAAATCCACTTCTATAGTGCTCTAACATTTTTTAAAAATGCATCATTCTCTCTTGAAAAATGTTATTATTTTAAAAAATATACAACATTTTAAATTTGATTTAAATTCGATAAACCCTATTCCTACCTTCCTTGAGGAAAGAATTTTTGGATTGCTAGGTACATAGTTCCTGCTATGGCCCGCGACATCAAGCCCATGACTGCAAAAACAACTCCGCATGTGCTCTAAGATATAAAGAGTATAGTTGAGATAAGCTGAATAAAATACATAATTCCAGACGCCTATAACTATCATTATCTTTAATAACAAAATAACTTAATTTGAAACTGGTCCCAAGGCTAACACTTAATTATATCTTTTGCCGATTCCGAAGTGCCGATCGGACAGAAGCATATTTATATATTGTCATGAGAAACGAGGTCATCTTGTTTTAGGAATTTTTAACTCATCTTTTCTTTGTTTGGTTTTTCCCTAGTTTCTTTCCTTTTTCCTTTTTTTAGTATCAGTGGAACTTAATACAGTATCCTGAAACTGTTACTCTCTGACGTCATGGGTCAATTATGTGTCAAAGTGCTAAAAGATAGTAAGACTTTTGGTGAAAAATAATGATAAGAAATAATAATGATAATAATAACTAATGGTCCATTGGTAAATGACACGTAATCCAGATGTAGCCATGACAACGGTCACTGTTGAGGATTTTTTCCCCTACTTGAGATCATTTTCAATATGCGTCTTATTGCCACATCTGACAAAGTTTTATTAGAGACGAAAGAGTTCCTTAATCCTAACATCGTGATATTGAGATCGAGTAAACAGGATAGAAAAACTTCCTATACACAAGCTTTTAATTCCATCACGGAATCTTTATCAAGTGCCCTCTGTCAAGTGCCATGATGACTGGAGTTAGTAGTTTTGTCACGTGACTTCTACTGCGAATCACGCGATAAAACGTCCCGGTAGATCGAGGGGAGCAACAGGCATCCCTGTTCAATTTCGGAGCCTGACAAAATACTTAATGGCCTCCCTGTCACTTCTTTTAATAAAACACTTTATCTTCTCTATCGACCAAGCTTCTGCCAAGAAAAAAAAAAAAAAGACCAGAAATGGAAATGGACAACGTTAGGGGAAAGATCCTTATAAAAGCCCGAAAGGAATCTTCCTCGCCCGAGGAACGAGAGCAGAAACTCCATTCTGATGACGTGTTGCTAACCGAATACTAGGTAGTATTTCTAATTGGCTGAAGCAACCAATGAGGGGCACTAGCCAGTTCTGGGCTCGTTTCCTCGGGGAAACCAATAGTGGAGTCGCAAAATGTCGGCTGTTTTCAGAGGCTATTCCTTTTCCTTTAAAGAATTAAGAATTTTTGAAGTTGAGAAAATTCACTTGCCACACTTCAGTATTAATTTCAGTTAACTTTCTCAGTTCTTACTTTGCTGTTAATTTGACTTACTGTATTGTCTCCAATAAGTTCTGCTGCAAAGTTCAGTGAATTAACGATCATAATGGAAAACCCAAATCCAAGCAAAACAACGGCTGGATATGTCATTACTTTAGTGGGCTCGGCGATAAAATAGAACCACACGCCAGCTCCAACTGCTAAAAGGGCAGCCATGATGAAGGACCACTGAAAGAATATAAAGCAAGATAGTCAAGTCAAACCTAAAATCCAATCATACAACCTATCTTGGGCAAATGCAATTTTAGCGATCCCTACTTAGCCACTTTTTGGGCTTATATTTACCTCATAAAGCATCGACCTCAAATGAATTGGCACAATCGTAAAACTTAATGTAGTAAAACTGGTCCAATTTTTAAATTTTCTGACCCCAAAATCTATAGTAACTACTGTAAAAATGCAACCCTATTATAGTCATTCATGTAGTGCAAATGCGACGCCATCCACGCACACATCCCCATTACCCTGTTACTAGGAACCCACCCCTCCTCCCCCCCCCCCCCGGGGGAATTAACAATTCATACGCTCGTCGTCGAAAATGTTCATGATCCGCAGTTGATATTTCCCTGACACATTTGTTACCTTGCTTCCCAGTTTGACGATAATTTTCTTAGAAATGACTGAAGATGTTGCTCCACTGATCAACATTATTAGTGGAAGATAGGCAATGGCTCCCTAAAAAAAACAAGAAGAAAACTTTAATGGATCAGTACGACAATACAGTGTTTAAATAATTTTGGTGTTAAAAAGGTTAATGACTCAAAAAAAAAAAAAATTTTTCGGCAATCCTTACTCCCATTTCCTTAAACCGCCTATAATACACCTTGTTTATTCCCCCCCCCCCACCCTCAAGGTTTTGCTTAAACGCGTTGTCTTCTTGGGGTGACTGCCTTATACCCGAGACAATAGAGACTGGAATTTGGAAACAGTGGGTAGCAATTTTTTTAAGGCGGCGGCGGGGGTAGGGAGGGGGTAAACAAAGGTTGCGATGAATGAATGATTAACTTTATTTATACGCGATAGTAATTTCAACATACAAATCTGGTTTTCAAATTAGCCGTGTGAACAATTCTGTGACCTAACTACATATCACAATCTTTAAAACCATCGTACGGTTACAAATACTAAAAGAAATGACGGAATATATATCATATAATAAGTATTTATTTAAAAAAATGATAATAAAACGTCTAATGTTTTATAGTCCGCTGTTGTAATAATATGCGTGCTTGTCTGTTTTGGAGTTGATCGGCACGCATTTTTAAGCAATACCCCACACACGGCTCATCACAACTAGTGATTGATAAACAGCGATTAATTAATGTTCTTGAGTCAATTATTTAAGCAGTTATAGAAGTTCAGTTAAGATTCAAATTTATCAAGCATTTCTTTAGATGGCTAATTTGGAATGGCCGTTTGAACATTCTAGCGATTTATTTTTGCATACACATTGCCTTATAGTTTTCACTGTGAAAGTTTGAATCCAGGAGTCACTTTATAAGTAGGTTGAGTATGATCGTCCGGGTGGACGTAGTCCTGAATAGGACTGTTGTTGTTGTTGTTGTCAGGGACTGACGTTTCGACAACCTGTGCGGTAGTCAAAACGATGATTATTAACCTGATTGGTCAATAGTGTTTAGTGCCTTTTAGTAAAAATTAGCGGTTAAAAAGATGTTCACTGACCCATTTCTGTCAATATTCGTTTTTTTTTTAATTATACTTTTATTAGTAAAAAGGTTCATTATTTTTTGATGACGACTGCAATAAACTGATAAATTTATTTACCTTTTGAAACTGAACTCTGTGTACAAGAAACAGTGGCAGATAGTTGAAGCAAAAGTCCTGCAAAACTTTTGCACTGGAAAATATCGTGGCCACCTATGTAAACAAAACAGGAAGTGTTTTAGTGTGGTGCTAATGTTAATAAAATTTTAATGACATTAACAGACGGGAAAAAAAAGACTCACCAAGTAAAGACGTGGATCCTTAAGCCATGCTCGCACTGTCTTGGGTGCAGCTGTGACGGAAACAGCAGATTCGGATTCAGCAGAGACAAATGAAGGCGACTCGTTATTCTTTATGGCTTCAGATGGAAGGCCATGATTTGTTGCCAGTGGGTTGGTAAAAGTCTCTTCCCCTCGGCTGGTTTTTTTGATCTGGTCTAGGGGAAACGATCTCGCCACAATTCTACCACATTCATAGCCTTCGTTGTCAGTTCCAAAAGACTCATCAATTATTTCGGTATAATCGGTTGGTATCTCTGTACCGATAGTACCTTTGGAGTTGTTCGTTCTTGTAGGAGCTTTCGTTTCCTCTTCATTGCAAGTCGGCAAGTGCTCTTTTAATCCCACCAATTCATAAAATATACTCTTAAGAACGCTTATTTTACGCTCTTGGGGCATATCCTTGACATTCTGCAACATTGTCAAATCATCAATCTGAGTTTTTGATGAAGATGAAATTGAAACATGAGCAACGGAGGCCTTGGGAATAGCTTCTCTAACTGTATCTTCACCAAGAGGTAGTCCTTCGTTAGCTTCATTCTTCTCCTTCTCATTCACCCCAAACATGGCGTTAATAAAGTGCCTTGCAAAACTTTTCTTCCTGGTATGATCTTCTGTCTGCACCTCTGGTTCTCCCTTCGTCTTCAAACTGTCAATGAACCAATCGCGCATTCTTTCCTTGGTAAAGAGCAGGTCTAAAGTATATAAATAAAAGTAGTTTTAAATGATAATGCAGCACCAATCTTAGTACGAAATATGACAAAATAGACGTTAAGGAATTAAACGAAACAACGATGATTTACTTTGAGCATAGCACTATTATAGATTATTGGGCAACGCCATTCGCAGTTAATTCCGTTATTGTTAAGTAAACTTAAATACTTAGGTAGCTTTTACAGTATATTTAATTTAGTAAATGAATAACTTTTGGACAAACTGAGCAAAAGTCTTGAGAATTAAAGTTTAATACGCCGCATGAGAGAAAATTGAACTCTTACTGATTTTGACAACTACATACAGGCGCGTAGCTGGGGTTTGAGAAGGGGTGATCGTACTGATACGAATAGGGATTTAAGATACAACGACAACGGACTACGAACTACGGTTGAACGAGCGTTGCTGTGTTTGTAGCACTGGGTTGAGTCGTGCAAATATAGAACGTTAAGATTGCAGTACAGACACAAGACTACGACTACTACCAGAGAAGAGGTGGAGAGGGAAACAACACGCAAACATTTTCTTGTTTTCATGTTCAGTTCACAAGAATGCAAGTATTTTGCATGTGATCTTATTAAGAATAATGAACAAATTCTTCCATACTGGGGGAAGCAATTACGTCGAGTAAAATTGGTGAGGTTTTGGTTAAAAGCCCAAAAATAAATATGAAAGAAATCGAGGAAATAGAAATAGTCAGGGCGGATTACTTCATTTATTAGATTAAGAAGATGAACTTCTCCGATTACCGTAGTGTAAAAAAAATCTAAATGCCGATTTCGATCATCTAAAGATTTATAACTTTTTCAGCAAATTTATAATAAAACTCGCATAAACAAAGGTTAATGAAAGACACACTAATCATTTCGAAAAGCGTGGTTCTTTTTAACTGCGAAGAAAAAAATTTTATTTCTGTTCTTGATCTTCAATCCGAAATCAGCTAAGGAAACATCTTTTTGATATTGTTTTGAAGTCTCATTTTTCATGGTTTGTTTTTTTTATAAAGACTCTCAAAACTATTCGTTTCATTTAGCAAAGAGTCTTGGGCATCTCCAGGTTTCCTTCAAATAAATTGATTGACTCGGCATCTCGTTCGAACCCCTCGTCTCGCGCCTTTTTTCATTTTGCCATCCCAAGCCTATAATGTTTTTTAAAAGAAATTAAAGGTTTTGAACAATTTCATTTTGGAAAAAACGAAAGAAATTCACGGGGACTAGCCGAAACCAAAAAAAAAAAACATAAGTTTTCACAAATTGTTTGTTTTTCAACGAATAACTCATTTTGTTAATTTCTCGAGGAAACCCTTCGACATTAATTAACCCGCTAGTTCTGTTATGTTTTTTTTTTTTTTTTTAAGTGTACCTGTTGCCATGGTCATCGACTGTAGACTGGAGTATGGAGGAGTAAAAGATGACTTTTTCTAAACAAGAAGTAATTGAAAACATAAGAATGCAATTATTTTTTTAAGTAACAGGTGTTGGACTGAAATAGATTTGAAGACATTTGTGTTCGGACAGGTCCCAAATGCCTGTTGTTTCCGAATTCTAATTAGTGACATGGGCTTAATTCAAGCATATTAACATCGAATAATTGCGGGCGAATTTCAGCCATTTAGACTTAGTTAATATATTTTGTGTGTAGTTGTATTTAATCAGTGTAGTGTGCTTAACCTAGAGAAAAATATGAGAAAGGGAAACACATCGTAAGCGTATGTAGTATTCACGAACAAAGCAAGTTCTGGCCTGGAGGAAATTTGTTCGTCTATTTTGTCCAGCTATTTTGTTTTCATTTCGTTAAGGAGCACGACACTAAAAAACGGCTGCCTTGAAATTTTGTGTTCCGTCGTTTTTCATCATTGCCTTGAAATTGAGTTGCGTCATCATTCGTTTATTCGTTAAGTCCTCAATCTGTTTTAATCGTCAATAACGCCTACTTTTTCTTGCTAGTATCAAGGTGTATATTAAGAGACAAAATATAATACATTGAAGATAAGGAATTTTTTCTTGAACCGCTTGGGGGGAAATTAAATAATTCACATATCTGCACCTTCCATGTATTTTTTTTTTGTTCAGACACCAGACGCACACAGGAATAGTAGATTGGCTTTCATGATAAAATAAAAACAATGTGAAAATTACCGCAGCATGGTCATCCGTGACGGTCTTATCAGTGATTGGCAGACTGTTGACAACTTTTTCAGAGGGCTCTTTGGTTCCACCGTGAAAAATAATCGTTGTGATAGTAAAACCTATTCCTACCATAATTATTGCCAAAACCTGGAAAAGAAGCAGACGAAAAACAAGAAACGAAATTATTTGTTTGCGCCTTCGGTCAGGAGTTCAACAAAAGTGATGTGCACTTTACCGTAAAGTCCATAGAGCTTTCTGGTGAAATTTCTTGATTAGCATTGTCTTGTCCCAAAACTGCCCAAGCCACAAGGTACGTAAGGGCACCACCCGAGAACTGAAAAGTTTGCCTTAGAATAAATGGAAGAATTATGAGTTATCCCGCAAAACGTCAAATCCTGTAAAGCATATTTTTCTAATTATTGTTTTGTCTTTCTGGGAGCTTGTTGAGTATCTTCTGACGAAAAGTATCATCAGCAGCTTAATTACGCCACTTTTGCTTGTACAAAAAGCATTGCCCCCCAAAATGTCATTACTTCTGTAATATTTATGAATTTATTATCTGTAGAGGCGCGGGAGCGATATTGGCTACGGTCACTTAATGGGGAGGCTACGCCCAAAAGGGTTCCTCATTCAGACTTCAGGCATTTTATGGCCAGGGGTAGGGGCTTCGGATCAATTTATAGGTTTCCGGGAAACTGCCCACCTATCCCTCCCTTAAGTCAACATTAACACTTACTTCTCACTTAGGACAAAATGTTGGGTTAGGGGATGGGTCGGTGGGCAGTTTCTTAGAAACCTAAATTGATCCCGGGGGTTTCGCTAGTTGATGTATATCCAGGATAGGGAAATATATTGCTGTATTTAAAAGAGCAAGCTTTCACCAAGAAATTTGAAACCGATATTAAATTAGAAGGTTTACTGTTAATACTTATGTGAAATGGCATCATTGGAAGGTAAACCAAAGGGGTACCTTTCATGGAAAAGAATGGCATATCTAGGATAACGGATTGGATCTCGAGGAGAACCTTTCCGTATAAAACTTTATTGAGGACCCCCACCCCCGGATGGATTACGGAGGTGATGCAACGAAACTAATGCCAGCTAAATTTAGCAGTGTACCCAGCTAATCAAAATCAAAACATTTAAATGTAGTGCATAGCATAATAAGTGCAAAACTACAACTACAGCTAAATGCGTAAGCATAATTTTGCTAAATGCTTGTTAAGCTGGCAAATCGGAATATACAAACCTCCATGCGTTCAGTTCAATGGCCTCTGCTTGATTCTTTGAAATTACTGGAATGATTGACAGGTGCCCAAGTTCTACTAAGCCGAAGCCAGTTGAGACAACTGTGCTTAAGGCAAGAATGTACATCATCAGCTGCCACTGTCCACCATCACTCTGACAAGGAAAACAAGGAGCAAAGTAGAGGGGTAAGAAGATCGCTATCATTGTCGTTCCGATGAAATGCCAAGACTTTTTTCTTCCGAGCTTCCGAGACAAAAATGGAATCTTGACTCGGTTTCCCAAGAACGCACAGAGAGGTTGCGCCAAAGCTTGAGAGATCTTTCCGTAAACCACTAACCACCCGGCGTTGGTTGCAGAAAGACCGAGAACGTTCATGAAGAAAACCAAACGAAATGATAGAATCTGACTTGTTATTTCACTCAGTATTCCTCCTATTCCACAAGAAAATCTTTGGAAAACAGGCGTTCGAGATTCTGAATTCGATTCTGCGGACCGTCGACAGCAGAGTTTGGGTACCTTCATATTTGAAATCTGAAAATAAAAAGTACACGAGAACGTTTTTAACACTGAGCTGCGACCTTTTTGATATGGAAGATAGAATGATGGTGGGAGTCGTAGACATCGATAGAGATTAAAGAAATGCACACGGTATAGGATCAGATTTATAGCTCCCTAAAGAAATAAAAAAGTAACTCAATTTATCAAAAGCATGGATTGCAGGCGGTCTCGATCGATGACGGCACAAAGGCACCACCTGTTGATATGGTTAAACGTATTGATAGTATGCATACATGTTTGTAACTTAACGTTTTTGAGTACAAGCGATTGACAACGTGTATCAGGTAGTTTGTTTCCTTTGAAAATTATGCCATAGTTATCTATGGCCCTAATTAAAAGGCAACCTGGGTTAAATTGAAGAGTATCCTTTTTAGACTTAATCTTATGGACAAGTTAAAGCACTCACCTTAAGAAGCGCGCGTTAAGGGTTGTTTCATTACCAAAGTGTAGTTAAGCGTACAATGTACAGTATATATTGCTGGCATCATTACTAGACCTTTACGTATTATCCCACCTACGTGACAGACTAGCCCATCCGGAGGAAGTCATCGAGGGCCACTGCAGGTTTTTACGTTCTTTTATCACAAACACCACGTTGCATAAAAAGTCGATTGAATTTTTATTTTCTAGTTTTGGTCATGTAAAAGAGTGAGTTATTCACCTTTAAGGCACTTACAACGTCGGCTTCAGATGTAGATTGACCAAGAATAAAACCAAATAATATTCACTCAACCAAACTGAAGACTAATTCATTCAAAACGCTTCCTTTATTTGCAAGAAAAGCGTTGGGAAGCTGATGATTCGCGGTGCTGAATTTGATTTCGTGGAACATAGAGATTAAAATAATTATTTCAATATTACGTTCGCAAGCCTCGAATGTTTGCCATAGTCTGTCGCACAAGGAGTCAGTTTTGTTAGACAAACTAGAAATGAAATTGCACACAGAAGGATTTCTTTATTCATCTCTCTAAAATTTAAGTGAATTTAATGAAAACAGACTGATTAACTTTTAATTGATGTCGCAAGAAACCGTTTGGCCATATAAGTGGCTACAGAAATTTTACTTTCAGCGGTAGAAAATAAATTACCCTAGGGGGGCACAACTCTGGAGTTTTTACCTTCTCCATCGGCAAAAGACAGTTTATTTCTTTAATTAAAAGAAAATTTGATGCCTCCCTACTGTCGTCCAATATATATCTCACGGGGAAATTATAGAGCACAAATCTCTGTAAGTACTGCATCGTGAAACAGTTATTAATTTGCGCACCGTGGATCAGAAAAGGCCTCGCTCATCCCCACTGCCTTATTTATGACGATGTAGATACATAACTCTGTTCGATTACGTACCACTAGAAAAGTTAATAGTTCTAATGAGACTGGTTTTGTAAAGAGACACAGACGATCGGCGGTTTCAATAGAAAGAGAGTTGAATATCGTATTTTATTCTCATCAGGTAGCTTAAAGGGAGAACATACGAAAAAAGCGAAAATTTCACCACTCGCGCTAAAGGGATATTTCCCATTATTATTTTATTTTGTTTTATTTTAATTTTTTTTCTAAGCAAATGAAGCGTAAACGGCAAGAGAAAGATAAGAAGCTAAAGAAAGAGTGGCATCAGTCCGATAAACCCCGAGGTTACCGATAATCCTGCTGTTGTTCAGTCCCGGTTCCCCGAGTTTAAAAGCAGCGCACTGTACCCCTAAGCCAATCTTCCTTTCTAAATTAATGATTTTGTGCTGAATTCGATGTTACGTTCAGTGATGTGCGTTGATTTCCATGGTAACCCATAAAGGAGTTTGACATATTCAAATGTCGAGTGCCGTTACTCGTGCATTGTTTTTCGTTAAGGCGTAAAAGTTAGGTTTGAGCCCAGGAGTTATTTCATAAGTAGGTTGAGCATGATCAGCCAGGTGAACGTATAGTTTTAATTGTCTAACTATAGTCAGCTCTTAATCAGCACAGTAAATAAACATAAAAAATAGGATAGACTTCTTTTTCTAGTCATGGTTATTTTTAAGCCGCAGCTCAGCTATCTTTTAAAAATAACTGTTAATTGCACAATAGCACACGTGAAGCGTGCGAACGTAAATTGCGTTAGGATGTCCCTCACTTGACTTCTCTTTAAGGCTTCAATGCCTACACACGCATAGGATATACAGTTCAACTTAGTTATTTATTTTTATTTTCACCATCCTAATGTTCTGTGTTTTTCAACCTGTCTTTATAAAACACTACAAACCAAATTTTAATACACTCCAAGTATTTTAATATTAGCTTTTTTTCCCACAAGCTCCAGCTTGAGGTCGTTTAATCATTATTGTTGATATTAAATGAACTAAAATTATATACTTTAGCTGCGGGCTTGTAAGAGGTCATTTAGTATTGACGCAAGGACACAGTCCAACCCAAGTATTATCGCTTTTTAATTCCCCTCAAAAGCATCTTTTGCTTAAGTCTTGCACCCGAGCTCACCGGGACTCTGTGATGCGAATACGAATCGTTGTTGCGTCCAAGAAATGTTAAGAAGTAGTGGTTTCAGCGCGGGGATTTTAGCAACCGTTATTTCGAGGACAAAAATAGAAATACATGTAAGAACAGACAGAACGCAACTTCTTGTTTAATCCATGATGTGTTTTTGGTATTTTTGAACGAGAAAAGAGAGCCATTTAATGTATTCATTTACATGTAAATTCTAAGGAGCGGGAAACCATAATCATTGGATTCTGATTGATTTATTCCAAGTAAATATACTGGCTGCGTTCAAGTAGCCGTCTCCCACGCACAAGATTTAGAATCACGTTTTCGGTAAACTGTAATTTGTTCAATTTGGACAAGATTTTCCTTTAATTCGCTTATTGTTTAGTTTGTTAATCTGTTCCCTGTTATCAGTGGTCCCTCACGAGGGATCAAAAGCTCCCTCTGCTAGCTGAGGCCGGAAGTTAATCTGCACAAACCAAGAAGTTTCAGGACAGTTTTATTAATACTGGAATTCTTTTAATTAAATAAACAGTTTCAGTCTGCTCATTTCCCAATTGGGAGAACTTGTCAACATGAACCTTACATATGCTTTTGTCGCTAAACGTGATTCTACATCTCTCTTCACTTTGGGCTTCCTACAACTTGTTCCTCACCACCAGCGGAAGTGGTTTTCTGTTTTAGCAAACTTTTATGTGGGAGGAAAACGTGACGAAACCTAAAATAAGTCAGCCTGGGAGGCTAGTTTTCAAGACAAAAGATACCTTAAATATCAGCTTTGAAAAGTGCCGCAACACAAGCTAAAATAGCAGTCCATATTGTAACCGACATTAAGTAAACTTTTTTCGAAGGGGTAGCGCACCTCAGATTATAGTTGTGATATTGTTGCTCCTAAGAATATCTAAATGTAGTCATTGTTATAATCATATCCAGCAGCTGACACGGTTTTAAGAGCCAATGTTTCTTTCCCCAGAACAGAACTTAACTCGCCATTTCGTTTACTGTTTTCTTTTCAACTTTTTTTCTTTCTTTAGAACACTTGGAGAGTGTTCACCCACAAGGTGTGTGTGTTGTTGCTTTGTGCTGGTGACTGTCATAGTATGCTATAACATACATACTTTAATAGAACTTGTATGTACCTGGATATTCTTCCGTCTTGTTATAAAAATACAAATAATAATACATAAAAGAATAGTTTATACAAATAAAGATGGACAACTGAACGTTAAGGAAAATGAATGTCAAGAAACTGTTATAATAATTATCATAAAATTATGGATGCTTACAGTACTAATAGCAACAAACTATACTTCATTTTCATACACATCATTTTGCCATCTCCGTCCGCAAATAGCAAAAGCTACACGAGGCGGGCGGCGAGGAAGGGTTACAGCAGTCATAACAGATAATATTGTAAAGTAACTAAACAAACTATGTGGATAAATAAGAATTACAGAAAAACAAGCTAAAGCTACAAAATATATAGTCTTACAATGAATATTACAATCAAATTTACTACTAACACCAACAGTTCGCCTTATTTTTCATGGAACATTATTAATTTGAAATTTCCAGCTTAAATTGCTGTCCAATAGGACGCCAAGATATTTAACAGTAGAAAAATGGCTCATTAAGGTAAGAAGCGGGAGCTCAAAATTAAACGTCCATCTTGGCTCCTGACCGCTGACCAGTACTAGTCGTTACATCAAGCCGATTTTTTGAAATCCAACCCAACAAAATTTGCAGTCATCTGAATGAAAAGGCGTCAAAAGGCAGTTTTTTGGGCCCAATAAACTCCAAAATCACACTAAGGAAGGAAAAGGAAAGGAGAAAAAGAAAGAGAGAAGAGGAAGAAAGGAGGAGAAGAGAAAAAGCAATGGGTTGCACTCTTAGTTTTTATAATGGCTGCATTGGAGACTGGGGGAAAAAAACTGTTGGACGGAAAAAGGTCCATTTGGCCGTAACGTTTTCAAAAATCCGGCTAGACATATAATGAAAATAAAGAAAATATTCGATGTCTGAATTTACATATTCAAAGTTAGGGATTCGCAATGAGGTAAGCAGAGACCAGACACCTGAATGCCTTTGGATTCTTGATAGATTTAGCGTACTTAGGACAGGTATTGACCCTTTGTGACTCCCATTTTTGTAGAGCAAGGTTGCATTTATTTCTAGTAGACCTTTTATTGTGACGCTAAACCTGTATTTTATTTAAGGAAAGTGGACAGATGTTAGGTGGTGCCAGGTTGTCCGACTTCAATTCAGTGGCGAAGATTCGCGTAAAATCGGGAGTCAGTTCCCCTTGATCAGAGTGATTAATGTGACCGAAAGTTCAGTTGCATATAGAGTCTATAGTTATCAATAGGTTAAACAGGGAGCTTGACATGATATCTCCTTTCTTCACCTTTCAGGGCATCAAACAAGAGTGACTTGTCACTAAAGGCGATTATCTGCTTTTCCTTCTGACTTTATGCTGGCATCTGTTTTAGCAGCTGTAAGAAAAGAGGATCTCAGTAAAAATAAAGGTTGTTGCTTTGAATGCACCCAGCTGATTCCCATGGCCTGTCTCTATCCTCTTTCTTTACTTTTGGTTTAAAGCGAGTCGGTCCACAGATTGAAAAGAGATCCTTCGATTGGTGAAGAGGAAATTGTGTGCATCCGAGGAATTATGAAGTTGACATAATTAAACATGGAATGAAAGACCTGTCAACTACAAATTAGCCTGGCCGCTATTTGAAGCGGGGAAAAGTCTTGCTTTTGTAGAGTAAAACTCACCCTGGCCTTTTCATCACTCAAACTCTTGAAGTTATCGCAGGGAGAACCACATGTAACTTTTACTTTTATTATAACACTCTTCTGAATACAATCGAACCTCTCTGCAATAGCTAACTTTGTGACTTGTGGTAAAGGAGCCCCTGGCGTTATTGCGAGGCAGGGGTGTGATGTAAAAGCAGTTTTCGGTGGTAAGGGTGAAACACTATAGTACGTTATTATAGAATATAATACGCAACAGAATAAGTAAAAATCCAAAAAAATCCAAAGCCAAATTTAGCCTTAGAAAAACGCCGTTATTTCGCTACGCCGCCACTGGTTTCCCCGCGAAATGAAGTCTGAGAGAAGAGCGCTGCAGCAATTCCATAGTGATGACGTGTCACTACCCACATGTACTTGAATCTGATTGGATGAAGCAAATTTTCAACCAATCCGAAGTACTTGTCATATTTGGGTAGCGACACATCATCATTATTATAGAAATTTATGGGTTTCACCAGTTTCGCGGGGAAAGCAGTGATCGCGTCGGAAAATGTCGGAAAAATTTCTCAGCGAAAGTAAGGTACAATGATAACCCCAGCTTGCAAATCTTTCGCATGTAAATGGCTATTTAGCGGTAACTATGTCGGTTGAAACGTATACGGTTTAGAAGTCGTTGCGGTTTTTAACAGTTTGAAACAATATCCAAGTATGGAGAGACTCAATCAGCCACAGACCACAAACAATTGCTCCGCGTACAGGTGCAGTGATGGCCGTGATCAACACTAGCTGGCCGTTATTAAAGAAGTTAGACTGCAGTATATGACGTTAACTAATCAGCAACAGAGATCCAGCAATGGCTGACTCACCATTTCGCCTGCATTGAGTTTGCGGTGCTTGGAACAACAGAAGTGCTAAGATACCGATAACAGCTATAGATCCTGGTACAAATGAAAAAATGTGACGTACATAATCCCCACACTCTTCACAGTTTGTAGATTTGCTACAAAAAGTAAATAAAGACGACATTAAAAGCTGTTTTAAATAGCCTTGACATTGTATACGTGGGGAAATAATTTAAAAATATAAAAAAAAAACAACAACAACAACAAGAGATAGGTTTATAGTAATTTGACTATGAGACTGTAGCAAAACTGATTTTAAAAAAATACGACCAAGCATGCTTCGTCTTAAGATATTGGACAACTTTTTCACATTGCAACTTATTTCTCTAAGTGACTTCATTAACTTAATTTTCAATGACACCCTCACGAGAAATTTGTCATAATAAGGGCCTATTCACAAGGAGAGAGGGTTACCCTTGTGCTAGGGTTACCCTAGCAAGCGGGTCAAAGTTAGCCCGGGTAGGGTTTAAGGTAGGGTTCGGCCCTATCCTCCGGGTCCACTTTACCATGTTTACTGACCTGTTCCGTCGTCATGCGTGACAAGATATGAAATAAAACTTGAATTTCTCTATGGATACAAGTTAAACTCACGAAAAAACGGGAAAATATTGTCATCGTACACAGAAAATACCTTTTACTGTTCATATGTTTATAATTTAGCTCAGCAATTAGATAATTCCGTTCAAATTGTCAAGATTACGGGTCAGGTATGACGGAGGAAAGTTGTTCCGGGTAGGCGAGTTGTCCTTAGCAAGGCGTTTGCAAGGCAGGTAGCTATAGGGTACCCTCTTGTTAAGGTAACATTACCTTCCTTGTAAAAACGTCGTGTAAAAAACAGGAAATGTGCGAGTGCTAGATAGCAAGGGTAACCCTATTTCTTGGGTAACCGTAGCAACAGGGTTATCCTCCCTCCTTGTAAACAGGACCGAAGAAAGTGACAGCGTTCGTAAATCACGTGATAAGTTTCCCTATAAATTGCATAACATAGACAAAATCTACAGATACTAGATTAATGCAACGGAAATATAATACCTTCTGGCACTACTGTTAAATGTGGAAAAATTCAACTACACACCGCCTTTATAAATGAAAATCAAAGTATTTCTTGCAGTTGATTCCAGTCACTGGGAATTTTTAAAATAATATCATAAGGAACACGATGATAACAGAAGCAACTAACAGTATTCCTTACCTTCCTTGGGGAAAGAATTTTTGGATAGCAAGAAACATTGCCCCTGCCCAGGCCCGCGACATCAAACCCATAACAGCAAAAACAACGCCACTTGTGCTCTGATGTGAAGAAAGTACAAAGTGATTTTAAAAGCACAATGTATCACAAAAAGAAAACAAAAGAAAAGATTAAAGAAGCAATAATCCCGAATTAAATAAATTAACAAATCGTTGAATTATTTCGTGACAAGATTTTGAACATTCTAGCGTCTGCATTTCTTTATTTATAAGTGTGTACTAGACAGTTATTAAAGTAAAACTGGTTGTCGATCGAAATGTTACCCTTGACGCACGACTGAGAGACCTCAAGCATGTTATTAAGGTATGGCTCAATTTATGGTCTCGGCCCTCCGCGAAGATAAGCTGTTTTTCTTCTACGGCCATGCTTTTAATTCTAAGAGTTGCAAAAAACTTTCGAGAAACTTTCTTTCGAGGCGTTGAATTAATTAGGGTTGAAGTGATGTAGTCGCGTCAAACGTGACGTCATAATGATATTCAAAAAGAAATTCAAAATGAGGTAAGGAATGGTTGATCACAACTAAGTTTGAACCATGTGTAAATGTTTCTTTTAGCGTACGAATTTTTTCTAAGGCCGAAACGGAGAGAATTTTTAATTTCTGAAAAATATATTAACAGGTGAAAAGTGTCACGTGACCTATTTTGCTTGATTACTAATTAAATAAAAACGTGAGTCAACCATTCCGGCCAGATTCAAGCGAGAAATGATAATACAATAACAAAAAATACTGTATTTAATATATACTGTGTGGTATCTCGCCACCCCATTTTCAGTTTCTTTTCTTTCCTGGAGTCGACCATAAGTAGTCACGTGACACAGATATCTGATTTCTCACGTCACAGGGAAATCAAGGTTACCGATTTTTCCGAGGCTGCAACAAGGCTGCCAAATTTTGGAAGGTTCTGATAAATTTTCCCAAAGTTATGATCATTATAAGATTTTGTGCAAATTAGCCTCAGGCCATGCCTTAACATGCTTGAGACAGGCAAGTCATATCTATTGTTTATACTCTCGTAGAAAATAGTTGTCAACTATTAGAAGCGGAAGTAAGAAGCAAGAAAAAGGAAGAACTACCATCAAAACAGATGAAACAGTGAGCACCAAATCTAAGAAGATCGAGTCTGGTTCAATTCTTGGCTTCGCAAAGCGAAGGTTTCTTTCTTGACAGTCTAAGATTCTACCACATGCGAACGTTTATAATTTGGGAATAACCTTTGTTCCATTTAGCCCTTTTACTACATCATTCCAAATTCACTTGTAACTTAACTCACTTTGTTGTCTCCAATAAATTCTGCTGCAAAGCTCAGTGAATTTACGATCATAATGGAAAACCCAAATCCAAGCAAAACAACAGCTGGATATGTCATCACTTTACTGGAATCGGTGATAAAATAAAACCACACTCCAACTCCTATTACCAATACAGCAGATAGGGAGAATGACCACTAAATGATAAAAAAAAAAATTAAAGTAAAAAATGTAATGCATTCATGGTTAACACAATTGCCACCTATATCAATTTATTATTTTCATCCATCCCATCCCTTTCCATTCTTTAGTATCTTAAAGGACTGCGCTGATCAGTCTAACGGATTAAGGCTTGTAAGTCTTTCCCCCTTTATTTATTTATTTTTTTTACCAGCGGTGGTTTTCATTCGACTTACCTTGCCTCCAACTTTTCCAATGAATTTTTTCGAAATTCCTGATGAGACTGCTCCAGTGATCAACATGATGAGTGGCAGATAAGCAATGGCTTCCTAAAAACAAAGCAATACATCAAAAAAGGTCAAGACAAATTTATTAATAAGAAGTTTCTTTACTTTCGGGTGTGGCTCATTCACAATGCAAGCTATATGCAACTACTATCAGTTAAGGCAGTTTGACACAAATCGGATTAGGCTAGTTTAGACGTACGTATTAGCGAGCGACAATTTGCACCAACAGAGGGGGGTTGAATGATAATGATTATAGTTATGATAATGATGCTATGCTCATGCTTATGCGAATGCGAATGCTAATACTGAAATACTTATGATAATGGTGATGGTGGTGGTGGTGGTGGTGGTAGTGGTGGTAGTGGTGTTAGTGGTGGTGGAGGTGATGATCATGATTATGATTATAATCTTGAGCCGTTAGAAATCCCTATCTACTATGACAAAGCTAGTCGTCGAAAATGACAATGAACTTTTCAACAATCTGCCATACAATAGCCTAAGTAATATACTGCAAAATTCCGACATTTCCAGAATACACCAGTGGCACTCCCAAGTTGTAAATCATTTTAAAGACAATCCTTCGTCACTAAAAGTAATAGAACGCAAAAAGTCTTCGATCAGAAGAATATATTATCAAACTTGGATCTGTATTACTAATTAAAATACCTTTTCAAACTTCACACTGTAAATAAGAAAGAGTGGTAGATAGGCAAAACAAACGTCCTGCAAAACCTTTGCACAGGAGAAGATTACTGCCACCTACGTAAAAACAAGGACAATATCAATTTAGGTATTCCCATCTATTTCTCTAAAGATTGGTATTTTCTAAACTGAAAGAAATGGAATAAAGAATAAGCATGTATGTTTGACATTTATACCATGCGAGAAAAGTAGATTGAAAATATGGCCAAAATAACAAGGGGTTCAAAACTTTCAAAAAACAAACTAAAAAAACGACAACAACAAAAAACAAAGAAGCAAACAAACAAACAAACAAACAACCAAACACTTAAAGCAATTCTTAGAGAGAGACTATTATTACCATGTAAAGACGTGGATCCCTGAGCCAGGCTCTCACTGTTTTGGGCGCAGGGGCAACTGGAGGAGCTGATTCAGGATCATCTGAGATAACTAAAGTCTTTTCGTTATTCCTTATAGCTTGAGGTAAGGGACCATCGTCTCCGATGCTTGTCTTGCTGGTCTCATGATGACATGGATTCACTTCAGTTTCACTAAAACCAAGGCCTTTGTCGTCATTACCAAAGGACTCATTAGTTACATCGGTGTGGTCGGTGTGATCGCTTCGCACTTCTGTACAAGATAAGTTAGTGACTTCATGTCTAAGTGCCAATTCAAAGAAAAAAAAAACTGGAATGGATTTTAAGAGGCTGTCTCAGTAAAAACCGCCCACTCAATTTCGCGTGAAAAATTATTTTGCCTGAAACTCTGGCGAGTGAAAGGCTTTATCGAGACTACAACTAAAATAGGTTTGCTTTGATTCACAATAATTTTCTGGCCGCGCTGGGGGGCGCCGAGTATTTTGTCCCGCCACGGCCATTTTGCACGTCTTGAAAACTGAAAATTTGGCATTTTTTGCGGCGCTGTAAAAAGTTTGATTTGCACCATCTACCAATGAATTTTATACCCATTTATAGGTAAACATCTCTAGTTTTTCCTGAAAGTAATTGTTATCCGCTAAATTTAGCTGGAAAGACGAAATCAAGCAAAATATGACCCCGACTAATTGCCTTGAAAAGAAAGGCCAAAAATTACACTGTTCTAAACGTTTATTTCTGACTTTTGGGACATAGTTGAAAGCTGTAGACTAAATAGACGCAAAGATAGACCATCTTTTATTAATAACATAAATGTACGATTTCAGTATTTTAAAAGTTATGACCGTTTGTATCAACGCGTATGCGAGCTAATACGATATTTTCAGATTTAGAATAACGGATCTACCTCAACCAGATTTTGTCAAAAGTACGGCTTACATAATTCATTACTGGCACTGACTCACAAATTGAGTCATATTCCAATCCCTGAGATGCCGGACTCCATAAAATTCCAGTAAATGTGCTTTAGAAACTGCTGGTATGCAGCCATTTTTGAATCCCATGCTAACAATCCGAAGCTCAAAACAGGTGTCACGTTTCGAGCTAAATAGCTCGGTAAAACAACCGTTCAGAAGTGAAAGTTTGCTCGAGAATCAGAAAATCAACTAGGCAGGTCTCATTTTGGATCAGAAAATTAAGATTTCAGAGCTACAACCTCGAATAAACCTTCTATTCAACCGGCTCTGCGAGGTCAAATGCAGGTTGATATGTAAACGGAAAACGTTGAAACAGGGAAATAGGGAAAACCGGAAATGCGGAAATCCGGATCATCCGGAAATCGGCAAATCTGAAATCAATCAGAAGCCGAAGGTAATTCCAACAATTAGCAGACAGCTGCATTCGTTTAGGGCTTCTTTTCGACGTTGAGACACGTAAAAGATAAAACCCTCCAAACCGGCGTAGCTGTTTGATTTCCACTGAACTGAAACGCAGTTCCACGATCGATTGCGTTTGGCAAATAGGCTCCATTAGAAAAAGTAAATATCATTAGCCGGTTACAAACATTCTATGTGCGCTAACATATCACACTTGTGACTAATACTTTACAGAAGTTGGCTATATATCGAAACTGAATGTTTCGAGATCTAAGAAACCGAGCCAGCTCGGTTGTCTGGGCTTATTGCCCCCGCAGGGATTTCGCCCAGAAGGCGAAATCCCGAGGAGGCACTCTAGTAACTCGCGCGTATATTAAGGAAAGTACTTACAGTTGAAATATACAGTCATACAGTCAATATAGAAAAAATCTCGATTTGCTTGAACAGGGGCCGCGAGAAATCGGTAGGTAATGATGACGTTTCTATTGTTTGCGCCCGCAAGTACGAAATGGTCAGGATGACGTAAGGACCGAAGATCCCCAAGGGACCGCTTAGGTAGATTTTGTGACATTCATTGTTCAGTCATACTTCGACACTCTTTTGCGTTACGTGTTATCAGTGAAATTCTGTGGAGCAGTTGTTTTAGTGAAAGTTATGAACCAAAATTTTAACGCCACTCGTTAAGTGCAGAAGAAGTTGTAAAGTACGTATAACTGTGTATATATAAACACTTGGCGAGTTTACCAGACACAAATTCACAAATCTTTCATTGGAAACCTTGCCAGACACTCTTTCTCTCTCTTTGACCGGAATAAGACTCAGCCCCAAACAAGCAAGACGAGTGAACAACGGCTAGCTTCTCACTAGCAGAACGATGAACGATTACAGAAATTCGCCGACAATCAAATTCTGTGCTGACTTATTCCCTGCTCGCATATACCCTTCCGCTATAAAGTTTAAAATAAGACTAGAATGCGCGAGTGTGAATTGATCAAACGTCTTTTTAATTTCTAAGGCTTCCTTTCCGGCAAATAAAATGAACTGAATGTAAAAAGTGAAAGAGAAATAGCGAAAAATTCAACTTCTAATTAAATCTTTTCTTATATGGTTTAGAATAAACTATTGTCGAAACTGAGAATGTTTTGATCAAAGCTGTGTAAATCGACCTGAAACTGTGCATGGAACCTTGCGTTTCCTGTATTTATCTCACCTATTGTATGGAATATGTGTGAAAATCTTCCTTATGAATCGGTATATTTCAAAGAGCTACACAACAAGCAAGAATGCTATTGACCCACAATCTACAGAGCGGGGGCAGCTGTAGTGTTAACTATTTCTAGTTAGTATAGAGGGTCCTTGAAAGTCGCTTGTTAAGGGGGCATTCTGGTTGTTTTTTTCGGGGAAAATGATGGTGATTTGGGAAAGAAATAAATAAGAGTAGAAAAGGTATGCACATAAAGCCTTGTTGGAGTCTCTGGTATCTTCTGATTATTCATTTCATATTTTAATTTCTAACAACCCCCTAATCCAATATTTTCCAACTTTTCCAACATTTTTAACATCCTCCTTAATTTTTATACATTAAAAACATTCGAAGAATCATCCAGAAATTCTCCAAAAATTATTGAACCAAGGCCTCAATCTTAATTGAGTCATTTTTTGATTCACGGATAACTTGGATAGCGGATAACGCGAGGAGAGCAGAGGAAAGTTATTTGGGTTATAGGGTATGGTTGCAAGAAAGTCCTATTTAATCTAGAGTAGCTTTAAGAAAGGATTTAATTCTGTATGCGTGTTTAGACCTTAAGACCAATATTCACACCGAATGGAACACTAGTGGCAAGTCCTAAGAGCAACCCTTTTTGAAGACCAAAAATCCGATTCAATATGGCCAAGAAAGGCGCTAAGACACTTTTTTTAAGATTAGCTACAAAACACCGTTAAATGGTCGAAAAAATTTAATAATCCTACATTTGTCGATAAATTTGGGTTTTCTGAACCAAAACGAGATCTGCTTAGCTGATGTTTTGATTCTCGGACAAGTCTCACCTCCGGACATTTGTTTTATTTTCTTTCTTACCCAGCTATTTATCTCTAAACGTGACAAACTGTAAAATTCCGAAAATAAGCCCCGGGACTTATATTTTTTCAAAGGCCCTTTCTGAGGGGCTTATTTTTGGACCGGCTTATATTCGTATGAGCTTATTTACGGAGGGAAGTTTGCGTTTAAAAATCGATTGGGCTAGCTTATAGTTGGAAGGAAATTAACCGTTTTGCTTTGTTTTACTTTGTATTTGAGGGCAATTTTCCAAGCACAAGACCCCGGGTTCTTATATTTGGACGGGCGATTTCACAGAGTGTTTTTTGTGTTACGAGTTTGGGGGAGCTTATACATGGGGGGATTCAAATATGGCCGCATACCAGCAGTTTCAAAAGCGCATTTACTAGAATTTTGAATGAAATATTGGTCAATTTTTTAGTCAGTGCCAGTAATGGATTAGGAAAAAGTTTGGGAGGAGACGGAGGAAGAAACTCTAGTTCCTGTTGTAAAAATAGTCAAAGGGACGGGAGAAGATTCAGGAAGAGGATCAGTAAAATTTGAAGAAGGCTTTCTCCTATTCACTCAAGCCTTCCCCTCCCTGATCGGTTTCTTATAAACTTACTCACCGGCCGGGACTATTTAACCGCTCTTAACAAGCGATTTTCAAGGACCCTCCATAGTAATAAGCCGAGCTGGCTCGGTTTCCTAGATCTCGAAACATTCAGTTTCGATATATAGCCAACTTCTGTAAAGTATTAGTCACAAGTGTGATATGTTAGCGCACATAGAATGTTTGTAACCGGCTAATGATATTTACTTTTTCTAATGGAGCCTATTTGACAAACGCAATCGATCGTGGAACTGCGTTTCAGTTCAGTGAAATCAAACAGCTACGCCGGTTTGGAGGGTTTTATCTTTTACGTGTCTCAACGTCGAAAAGAAGCTCTAAACGAATGCAGCTGTCTGCTAATTGTTGGAATTACCTTCGGCTTCTGATTGATTTCAGATTTGCCGATTTCCGGATGATCCGGATTTCCGCATTTCCGGTTTTCCCTATTTCCCTGTTTCAACGTTTTTCGTTTACATGTCAACCTGCATTTGACCTTGCAGAGCCGGTTGAATAGAAGGTTTATTCGAGGTTGTAGCTCTGAAATCTCAATTTTCTGATCCAAAATGAGACCTGCCTAGTTGATTTTCTGATTCTCGAGCAAACTTTCACCTCTGAACGGTTGTTTTACCGAGCTATTTAGCTCGAAACGTGACACCTGTTTTGAGCTTCGGATTGTTAGCATGGGATTCAAAAATGGCTGCATACCAGCAGTTTCTAAAGCACATTTACTGGAATTTTATGGAGTCTGGCATCTCAGGGATTGGAATATGGCTCAATTTGTGAGTCAGTGCTAGTAATGAATTAGGTAAGCCGTACTTTTGACAAAATCTGGTTGAGGTAGATCCGTTACTCTAAATCTGAAAATATCGTATTAGCTCGCATACGCGTTGATACAAACGGTCATAACTTTTAAAATACTGAAATCGTACATTTATATTATTAATAACAGATGGTCTATCTTTACGTCTATTTAGTCTACAGCTTTCAACTATGTCCCAAAAGTCAGAAATAAGCTTTTAGAACAGTGTAATTTTTGGCCTTTCTTTTCAAGGCAATTAATCGGGGTCATATTTTGCTTGATTTCGTCTTTCCAGCTAAATTTAGCGGATAACAATTACTTTCAGGAAAAACTAGAGATCTTTACCTATAAATAGGTATAAAATTCATTGGTAGATGGTGCAAATCAAACTTTTTACAGCGCCGCAAAAAATGCCAAATTTTCAGTTTTCAAGACGTGCAAAATGGCCGTGGCGGGACAAAATACTCGGCGCCCCCTAGCGCAGCCAGAAAATTATTGTGAATCAAAGCAAACCTATTTTAGTTGTAGTCTCGATAAAGCCTTTCACTCGCCAGAGTTTCAGGCAAAATAATTTTCACGCGAAATTGAGTGGGCGGTTTTTACTGAGACAGCCTCTTAAAAAGTGTGATGAAAAAATTGGCATAATGATAGTTTTTAGGTTTATTTTTAAAACACTATTTACCAATAAAATGGCTCTTCTAATGAGTAAAACAGAATGTACTTGAGCAATTTGGTCACTCCAGCTCGCAATTAATTTCATGATTCCGTTCTGTTTATTTATTTATTTATTTATTATAAGAAACATTTACAGGTTAATTAGAAAACTTATAATGGTGACCTGTGCAGAAGGACTTAAAAGTTGTAAATTTATAGCTCAGGGCTAAGAAATTAATATGTCACTTCGGCTGACACAAGTAGATTGGATATTTATAAGGCGTTTTATTAATTAGTTCGTGGTATTGCTGGAAACCCGAAAACAACACAGAACAGTTTTCATGCAATTTTTGGCAAGAAGGTATAAACGAATAACTCGTATGTACATACCACTAATCTCGCACGTATGGATTAAATTAAATGCGCATGCACACCTGTTTTCATGTATGTCATCGACTGTAAACTAGGGTATGATGGCGAAACAAAAGAAGACTTCCTCTGAAAAAAAAAAAATAATAAATGACATTTTAGATTTTAGATTTAAATAGATATCAGCACAGTTGCGTGAAATGGATAACAGGCTCTCCAACAAGTATAAATTGAATAACCGTATTTTTAAGATATTTTAAAGAATGATGGATTTTGATTGGTCGCTAAAATAGAAGTTCACCATTACCATAGCTTCACTTTTGGTTGACTGCCCGTTGACAACTACTTCCGGAGGCTCTTTGGTTCCAGCATGAAATATCATAGAGAGAATAAAACCTACTCCCACCATGATAAGTGTCAAAACCTTCGAAAGGAAAGAAATACAATTCATGTTTGGCTTAGCTTTGAGGTGCTTTTGATGTTAATTCAACAACTTTTACCATAAAGCCCATGGAGCTCTCCGCTGTAATTTGGCTGGCACTGTCCTGCCCCAAAATTGCCCAAGCGACAAGGTAAGTAACGACCCCACCCAAGAACTGAAACATTGTCCTGTAAATCAACCACATGATATGGCATAAGGTATATTGTATCAAAACGTGATAAATCATAGTAAATGCTTTAATTACATATGAGTCGGAAGTTAAGAGGAAGGGAGGAGGAGGTGATTGGGAGAATTACATTTATATAACTCTAGATGATTTTTTGAAAACCAACCTAGCAAAAGTTGCAGTCATGAGCTAAAAGGCGTCAAAAGGTAGGCTTTTTGGAATTGGACCCGATAAGCTGCAAAATCACACCAAAAGGAAAGGAGAAAAAGAAACTGTGTGCGAGAAAGAGGAAAGGTGGGGAAGATAAAAAGCAATGGTTATACACTCTTAGTTTTAAAAATGGCTACTTTGGAGAAAGGTCCATTTAATTTCCAATTGGTAGTAACGTTTTCAAAAATCCGGCTAGAACTATATCATCATGTATTAGGTACGCCACAGTAAAAAAAGATAAACTTGTTGAGGTCCAGCTAACCTCTATATAATCTTTATAACCCAATATATTCAAATACAAAGAAAATATTCTTTCTTGTTCCATACGTTTCTTTAGGAAACGTCTGCGGAGAGAATTTGTTAAAATATCGTAAGAAATGTTCCTGGGCAATAATGTCCTTATTTGGTCATCACCCGTCCCTGATAGAGCGTTTTACATGACGTCACGTCCGCCATATTGCTACTCCAAAGCAATGAGAGGTGTTTTTTTTTAAATGAACCTTTTTCTTATGTAAAAACTTTGTTTTGTTCCAACAAATTTACATTGCTGCTGGCCTCGTGAATGAAAACACGCTATTGTACATCATCAATGCTATAAAGAGAAATTTTGTAATAATCACTAGGGCTTATTAATAAGCGGTTAGTGGAGGTTTTATTCGCATTGATTCCTTGATAATTTTGTCCAACTGACTTTAGTAAGTGATCACTGCATGGGGAACACCATTCGACAGAGAGCAGGTCGATTGCAATTTTAGTTTACTAACAGGCGGCAAGGTTAATTGCCTTTAGTTGTTGCATCTCTCTTATAACGAATATAATCTCTGAGTTTACCTCTGCAAGAGCTTTTATTCATATGTAGAAACGTACATTAAATTTTATAAATTGAAAGTGAATTTGAACAGCAGGTTAAGGGAAAACAAACCTCAATGCATTCAGTTCAATGGCCTCTGCTTGATTCTCTGCAATAATGGGAATGAGCGTCAGATGTCCAAGTTCTATTAAGCTAACACTAGTTGACAGAACTGTGCTCAATGTCAGAATGTACACCATCAGTTGCCAATGTCCACCATCACTCTTACAAGGAAAACAAGGTCCAAAGTAGAGTGGTAGGACGATTGTTAACAGCATTGTTCCAATGAAATGCCAAGACTTCCTTCTTCCGAGTTTTCGGGACAAAAATTGGATCTTAATTCGTTCTTCCAAAAACGTGCAAAGAGGTGTTGCTGCGGCCTGGGAAATCTTCCCGTAAAGTGCCAGCACGCCAGCTTCAGTTGCGGAGAGTCCCACGACATTCATGAAGAAAACTAGACGGAATGAAATAAGCTGGCTTTGGATTTCATTCAATACGCTTCCTACTCCACAAGAAAAACGTCGGAGAACTGGAGTTCGAGATTCTGAATTTGGCTCTGTAGAACTGCACACTCTGGATATTCCCATGTTCGCTATTTGCATTTATGTCCGTCAGAAATACCTAAACGATCCAGAAATAAATAAAAAAGAGAAAAATAAAATGTGACATCATGATTAATAAAATTTACCTTTGAAGTGAAACCTTTTTTAAAAAATTCAATTCCAATTTTACTTTCTGGAAACATAAAATAAAGCTATCACATTAATTTAATACTTACATTAAAAAAATGGGAATTGCTGCCGAACTCGACATTAAACTATCGCCTGCGGGATATCCCGTTAGATGGTGCTTACCCTGCAGTCATAATTCTATGACCTCAGAGCATCTATTGGTGGCCATGATCATCACTTAAGGCCTGTTTACATGAAGGTGGGGGACCCCAGGTAGGTGTGGTAACTTGTGGCGGGTTACCCCACCTAACATGTAAACGTGATCCCATCAAAATGAGAGATTATATGGACAGGCGGGTTACCCCACCTAAGCTGCCTAAGCGGATTACCTCACCTTCCTGGGGTCCCCAACCTCCATGTAAACAGGCCCTTATTAAGCTTTAAATGCGTTCCTATGTTATGTGCTTTATGTCATCCCTTTGTGTAAATTTCACGTGACCAGTGATACGCATGCGCAGCTATAAACATATTTATTATGTATGTTGTTTCAGCTTTATTATTATCTCAATGGAATTTAAGTGCCTAAAGCCCAATTGTGTTATTTACAAAGCAAAATTACGCAGAATCGAGTCACTTTAAAGTTGCAAACACTTTTCAGGCTAGTCCTGGGTCTTGCCTGATATTAGAGAGATTAAGATTCACGTTTACACCAAACGGCAAACGTGAATTTGTACCACGTAACCAAGTTTTCCCCCTATTTTTCGTTTACTGTTTATTGCTTCTACACAAAAATAAGTAGTTTTATGCTAGTTTTATCCACAAGAATAGTTCTGGACCTTTTTTATCTGCTTATTTTCCATTCTGAGAAATTCTCAACTGACGTTTGCCGTTTGCCGTATGCCGTAAACGTGAATCTTAATCTCTCTATTTCAATGTCACATAGTAGCCTGTCATCACTATGTAATGAATTAGAGCACACCCGAAGAATACGAGGATGAGCATACTTAAAAAAAGTTCATTTTTTACCAAATGAGCTTGCCGACAAAGAAAATTCAACATGCATGCATGAGAGAATCATGAGAGACATTTTACTGATCTTTAATGAATTTATAGTTGCTCCTTTGTGATTTATGTGCAGTTATTTTCAATATCCCCAGTTCAAGATATTCGAAATTGAAATCAGGAGGTATTTTCCTCTACAGATCAATCGTCATCTGATATGCAAGAGAGTGTCTTTAACTTGTATTTACTCGATACGACTGTGTTATGCAAACAGCATTCCTTGTATTGACAAGCGAAACATTTTTTTTTACACTGTATACGAATTCGCTTATGCGTCACGTTACAAACTGTAGTTTCTTTGACTCGCTAGGCCCTCTCTGTCTCTATTCCATAATGTTCTTTACAGTAATCGTAATTAGTACCTGTTCAAGATTAATGGAAGCTCCGCGTTACGGTTTGCCTAATTCTATACATTAATAACATCTCGATAATGAACTGGTCACTGTTGGTAACAGTGACTTACGTTTTGTTAGGTTCACAGAGGTTATGATTGATTGAAAATATGATTATTAGTTTTAGTCCATAGCCAATGATAAACGTTTATTGCGTAAGTATAAGGACAGTACCAAGTTAAGTTTCTTTCAGCAGGGTATTTGTATTCTAAGAAGCAGCTAGCTTAGGGGCACCCAACGACTGTTTTCTGTAAAATATCTGTTCGGAGATTGCTGAAGCAAATATCTCCTTGAATTTTCTTTGCTTGAGGACGGCTACAAATTTCTAGATGACCGTTCCATTCATGTACAATTTTCGAAACTCATCTAATAAATTAATTCCCTACTATTTTCTGAAGCTTAAATTTTTGACGTTTCACTCCCCAAGAAATGTTGTTTTACGAAGTAAAAGGAAACCTAAAATTTTCGGATTAAAAAATGTAATTGAGATAGAAGTCCCGGAAAAATTCTCATTCTCTCTCTCCAGAAAGTTTTTCGGGAAAATAATTCTGAAGCCCTTGTAATTTCAAGAAGACTCAAAGTCTCCGAACAGATGAAAATTTTTTAGCTCCGCCTTAAGAATGTATTTCTATAGATCTAAAAGTACTTTGGATAGCCTAAAAAGTGTTTTCAACGTATATAGGAGGAAATCATCGTTGGGTGCCCCTGAACTTATAGAGCTAGATTGAAGTAATGAGTAAATTTTGTTAGTATAAAAAAAAACAACCACAAAACAAAAAAAAGTCGGCAACAAAAAAAGCATGAACAAAACTATGAAGAAACGGTGAGAGTTACAAACTTGCGCCATAATAACTCAAAACACTTCATGTTTTAGCTAAGTTCAGTAAAGTTACGTAATAGTTCAACATTTTCAAGCCATCAAAACATGCACTGTGCATTGACCATCCGATTCTTGCCAGACCACAGGAGAACCTGGCGCTTTTGGTGTACTTATAAAGAAAAAGTTAATTTTAAGCCGTTCATCGTGTCGCACACCAAAATGACACGGAACAAGCTGTCAGTATTGAACCTGATGCTTCTCTCAAGAAATTAAGAAGCTAAGCGAACAATCGAAATCTCCGAGCTGATAAAAAAACAAAAAAAGGAAAGGAGCAGAAGAAAAAAAGGGAATAGGTTTTGAGCTTTATATCGACTTGACATATTCATAAGTACGCTACGTACTGTCTGACAGTGTACGAATGAAGATCGCTAGAATGCAAAACAGTCCCTAGTCCGTCTTGCGTATTCAAGTACGCTCGAGCAGTCAAACAAAAGGTCTAAAGCGAGTCTGAAAAAGGAGAGCGAGACTAGGGGATCGAGAAGCTAAAAATGCGCGCTATCCGTTTTGCATACGTTATATTCGTTCGAATTACCCGCTTCTCTCAGCCATGGGCAATTCCCATTGGCTAAATTTTGATGCAAGCTGTCAATAAGCTGTCAAGTGATGTTTTCAACAAGTCATTCGCGACGCTCCCAACCGTGATGCCTTCCTAATTAAAGCTTTCGCCGTAAATGGCGGTTGATGATCGCCTGTATTTGCTCGCGCAAGAATCGCAGCTTCATAAAGCAACACGAATAAGGGTTTCGTTGCTAGCTGAACATGACTGAGACCTAAAAAATAATATTAGGAGTAATGTAGTATTTGCTAGTTTTGGAGTTTGCAGTGGTTGCGCACCCCTCAAAATGCTCTATCGAATGCCCGGTTTTATGAATGAGCTATGAAAAATCGTCAGGGTCTGCTTTCCAAAAGAAAAGAATATGAGACTTCAATACTATCGATTCTATGTTGAATCTCACTGGCTGGCATATAAGGGCAGGCGAAATTTATTTATTGCGAACTATATCCTTCATGACTCTTTGACAAGTAGCAATTTGCACTTTGCAACACAGGATTTTAGATGGCTCGAATTCAGGGTTTTAATGAATAAAAAGACTGCACCCCTCGAGGGACTAAGATCTGACATTTCTAATCAGTTCCAAAATCGATCATTAATTGCAGGCAATTGGAAGCAGAATGAAATGATTGTTTTTCTTACCTTTAGTCACCAAAACGCGTAACAAGTCGAGTCTACTGTGTCGACTGCACCAGGGCAGAATGCAGACTGTATTGATAAGCCTCAGGTTATTCGCTTGAGCAGCAATGGCTAAAAGTCACGTTTATTTCAAATGTAGTTTTGTTGATGCCATACACGTGGAACAGAACTTGTAACAATGACCCATAAATAACCTCGCTATTGAGGGAACCTGCTTGATTAAGCAACATGAATAAAGGTTTCGTCGCAAGCTGACTGGAACCTAAAATAATATCATAACAGTCGCGTATCATTGTATTTTTAATAAATGCTCTTCATGTAAACATTCTCAACCCACACGTGAAAATCATTACACGTGAATCACCGTTGTCAGTACATTTGTTCTGATTGGTCAACATTGCATTGACTGCTCTTGATGCTTTAATGAGCTTGTTGGTGCAGTTGATTAGTGTATAGTCTAGTATAGTCTCTCCCCTCTTGACAAGATAATTGGTTCATACTACACGTGAATGCATGGCGGGCGTCGAGTTAATTACTTTTTCGCCACCTGTGCTATATTTTGGTTAACATCTGACTTATTGTGCCCGGGTTTATGATTGATAGTCAAACTCCATGAAATGACGCGTTTCATGATCCCTAACTCTCAGAGTTGAATCATGCATGCGGGTATAATCGCTTAGGGTTGCTTTTGAAATGGAACATGATATGTGATTCCGACACTGGAGAAGCCTACTCTGATAATCAACACTATGTAGCTGAAGTGTACGTATTTAATCATTTTATTGCAAATCTGAGGTTGCGTTTGATAGACGTACAAATAAATCATGTATTCGCCAAAATTTACCACTTAATATTGTAAGTCAGCCATTCAAATTGTTTGGAGGATCGATTTAATTTACGGTTGAATGCGTCTTACTGTCAAGAACACTATGATGGATAGATAGATAGATAGTTTATTAAAAATATCGAACATGGCAGTCCGCAGACTGAATTGCGTTACAAATACTTAAAACTAAGATTAAATAAATTCCAAAATTATAAATACTAATTGAAATTATAACAAGAAACATTTCTATAAGAATGCGAAAAACTCTCTATATATAACTAGGTACAAACTAGTCCAAAAAATTATGTACACATACTTGGAATAAAAGTGTTCTTAAAACGATTTGTATGTGTGCGGGGCATGGCATAAGCCCTGGACTGTCTTAGATTATGTCTGTGTTCTCTCTTAGGAGGTAAGACAGGCACAAGTTTGTGATCCAGGCATGACGTGATAGACTCGAAAAGCTTGCTACACAGAGCCACGCGTCTAGCGTGCAAGGTTACTAAATCGAACCTGACCAAACATTCTGAATACGACGCATAAGGACAAATGATGGAGAGCGCT